CGAACGCGCCCTCCATTGACTCTGGCAAGTCTGTAGGTCTTGCTTTTTTGCAGAAAGAAAACTAAGCCTTGAAATTTCACAAGGTAAAATCCAACACCTAAATGCACATTTGGTGAAAGTTGGAGCTTTCTACGTGCAAGCGCAGATTTTTCCGGTTTGTTTTATGGCGACTAAAAACCGTGGCCACCTTATATTTTTGATGGGTCACACGGTAGCAGTGTATATGGGGAGCACTGATCTAAGTATTTCATGCATTGCGCCTCTACCTCGTCCACTTTGAGTCTTTGCTCCATCCACTCTCTTCCCGCAAAAGGCATCACAGGTAGGACTTACTCTGCACAGGCAAAGAGAAGGACCAGACAGGCCAAGAGCAACATCACCTCTCTTCGCGTACATGCAGTCCTGCACAGCAACCGCATGTTTGCACACTCGTTTGCTTCCGAAAGACATTGACGGATGAGGGCTCTTTTTAGTACTGACAAGCGAGGCTGCAGCCAACGTCCATCCGTAAACAGTCTCGAAATATCTCAGAATCAATATCCTCAGGTAAAAAAAAAAAAAAAAAAAGAGACAATGGCTAACGAAAGAAACCGCCCGGTGAGAAGACACAGATAGAGTGCTTATGCATCATTTATCACTTTGGCATGAACCGGTTACTGCTTGGGATGATGATAAAAATTGTATTTTATTTAACGATACTGCAGCCCTCCCCTTAATGTTAGAAGTGCAAGTCTACACAGTACACATCTTTGCACCAAACAAGCGAATGCTGCGCAAAATGCAGGTTGGGGCAGAGTGCTTCGCCATGGTTTACTTCGTTGTGCGAGGAACCACGGCGAGAGGGAAAGCGCTCTCACCTCGATCATGCAGGTTTTCGTGTTAAGGCCTTTGCTGTTTGTTCCCTTCCGTATTCCGTTCGGCTTCTGTACTCCATTCACCCCTAACCTGATAGTGCTGTGAAAGGAACACTCTCGCCAGACCCAATCAACCGTCTCTTTTTCATCACTTAACTCCGCTCTCCAGGCATGGGTGGGCCACGTGACAAACGATGCGACGTTTGACTAATCCAACAAGCACATTGCTTCCAGCGCACTGTCAGCTCAGGAACAGGCCTTGCACAAAATTACTCGGTGGTCTGACAACACTGAGTGTCGCCATTTTAATGTTGACAAGCGTCGTCGGTACTGAAGCATGGTGAAGGCATCGGCGAGAACCGAACGGGCAGCGTGCGATGGCGCTGCAGCTGTTTTTTGCCTTACGAGCATGGAATGTGGACAAACAGTTTAATTAACCTACTGAAACTGTCTGATGAAACTCTCGAGAAGGTTGAACCTCGTTGAAGCAGCGGAGCAAGTCCTATGCCTTTGCTGTGGAAGCTTACAGGCTGCCTTCTTTGATAGGATGAACCTCTGTGATTCAAGGTATGTAAACTGAGGCTTTTCTGTTTGACAGCATAAATAGGCACGATGCTTATTAGTTGGTAATCAAATGGGTGTATGCGTATTGTACCTGTTGTTAACCGAATGCTGTGCGTGCATTTTGTAGCGCGCTCGGAGTGGCCTCCAAAAGTTTCGTCAGACAGTTCTGTTCGTCCACGTTCCATGGTAATGAGGCGGAAAAACACAGCGGCCGCGCCATCTTACATTGCCCGTACGGTTGTCTCTGAAGCCTCCACCATGCTTCAATACCGACAACGCTTGCCAAAATTTAAATGGCGACGGTTTGTGTTGTCAGACAACCGAGGAATTTTGCACGAGGTCTATTAACGGAGCATACAGGGATTTCTCCAGAGCTATTAGGTCGTATAAATAAGGCAACAAATAAAGTTCAATAAAACATCACAAAGATTTCCGAAAAGAAAAACACGTTAAAACAGCATCGTTGGTGCTGCTACTGAGAACTGGCGTCGTACAGTTGGATCTGCTCTTGGGCGTTCGTCTTGGGCTTTTCAAGTGTCTTCTTCCATATGGTGCCAACTAGACCGTGTGTTTCCGTTTTCTCCCGGTGCAGAGCAAATAAAGTCTCATATTTTCTTACATAATGTTTTAGAAATCTACTCGCAAAATTTTATTACGATAAATGCACCACTTGAAGACACCTCTGGAATTTCAATGCACTCCGTTCAATGGCTTATTTATACAATTTTCTTTTTACGACTGAATGGTGCTCAAAACACCCTGTAATTTAAGGTTTCTCAGGTGTTTTTTTTTTTTCTTTTACTAGCTTTTGCTACTAACGATTTTGACGTTGAAAGAATTCGCATCTTCTATTTTTGAAATTGTTCACCTTATCACAAAGGACAGGAAACACACTTCCTTCCTTCGAAATGTTGCGATTCTGCCGCGTAATCGCGAGGGGAAAATTACAATGTTCCCCGAACTGCAGCCGCGAGCGGTGGCCGTGAGAAACACGCGGCGTGACGTCAATGGGGGTCTTGTAGTAGAAAGATAGCGAGTTGTGCGAATACCTGCTCGATAAAAGGTAACTTTTCTATAAATCTTATAGTTCAAACAAATATAAGTGCGTCAAAAACCTGGTATCATTAACAAAACTTTTATTATACGGAGTTTTAGTGGCGCCATCTATCCTAGATCCACAAAACAGTCAGCTCTATCTGCTCCTGTGAACAGCCGCCAAAAGTTGGAGGGGGAGGGGGACAGGGTCGGATGGGTATGGACGGACCCGGACAAAACTTTCCTCCTTTCACCATATTGCTCGCGCTGCGCCCGCCAGCACGTGGTCACGCGATCGCGAGCGGATGAGTTCTCGCTGCTCATGGATGGCTCTAGAGAGAGACCTTCACCGGAACTCCGCGCCAACCCCATTGACGTCGCAGCGCACGCGACTCGGAAGATGGTGTAGTAGTTGAGAGGCGCCGAAAACCTCAATCTTCGTTCATTTTTAAAACAAAAACTAGGACATGCAGGCAAAAGCGTTTTTTTGTTCTCTAGTTCAGAAAGGTCGAGGCACCAACTCCCAAATTATTTAAGCAAAGCAATGCAACTAGCACAGCTCCTTTAAAGGCAGACCAACAAGCAGAAAAAAGAAAGCTCGCCCTCGCCAACCCTTGCTTTCCTCCTCGCCGTTTCTCCGTCAACAAAAAAAGAACTCCTCCTTCACATGGCCACTTAGAATTAGAAAAGATTAGTCCAGTGACCATTTAGTATAACATCAAAAAGAGATGCAGAAGCCATGTGTCTTTCCTTCCCCCAACCCTTCCCTGAAGCTACACCCTCCCCATCATCTTGACCCTCGGATTCAGCCGACAGAATTCGCTACGCCCTCCTCGGACCAGTCATATTCTACCTTTTGCCATGTGATTAAGCTCCCGCCCAAATCCATGCGCGGAAAGCGGAATCGGAAGATAAAAGGGAAGCGGTCGATTGGTTTGGCGAGTGCGTAGGACCCACCACGCCGTCACCTTAAAGCTGAACGGAGTGAAAACTAAAGCTCAAAAAAGTCTGGCCACGATTCTTCCCGCATGTTGGCACCTGCTTGCCCCATTGAGTTCCTCCTGTGGTTCGTTCCCAGCAGTCTAGATAGCATCTTGCCCCCAAGAAAACATCAACGACACCATTCTTTTTGTCCAAAGTTTTCTGAACATCATTTTTTTTAACCCTTTCAACAACTGCATAAAATACTGACAACGGCTCAATTTTTGCGAGGACCTAATCTCGATAAATTTCGTGATTTAAAAATGTTGAGGAAAATCGATCGCACGAATACATTGCTCCGTGGCAATGGATACATATCAAATCACCTTCAGTCCTAAAATTTCGCGCCTGCAAGATATTCCCGAAATTCATACTTATAGTTGTGGAGGTCTTCGAGCCTCCATCCCACATTCTTCTAAGAACTAATGTGCAACAAAAGCATAAAAGATTACACGTCATAGTAGGAGGCTCCAGCACAGCATAGGCTCGGCGTTTCCGCCAAGGTTGGCATGACAACGTTCGACTTTTGTCTAAAAGAAGCAAGCACTGCAAATGAAGGCGATTCACCACTCGCTTCGACCATGAAAGCTCTGCTGTGCCTTTCCGAGACATCAATGGGTTCCCTCAGAACCTCTCCAAAATACAGGTTTAAAGTGACATGCGAGACACTGTCAGACTGCACATCTGCGCTCTTAAGGGTGCTCAAGACATCGCGGGACCAGAGGACAATTTGTCCAGAGATGCTTGTGCTTTTGCCATCTGCTGAGACTTCCTGTAAAGAGTGGTCCATTTAAAATTTACCTTATGAAGAATACAAGTATGTCATAAAGCACCAAGGAGAATAAGCCGCAAGAGGGCGGTTTGGAGAAGTGGGGCTAGTGGTCACACCACAGAACATACATCATGCTGCCACACCTGGCTTGGCGCATGATAACAAAAAGAAAACACAATTAGCAACGCAACATTGCCGACCCTATAAAAAATATCTGCATTCACCCCTGAGCTGACAGTTATGCACCCACCGAGTTAACCAACCGCCTCCCTTTCGTCGGCCAACCCCGCTCTCTGCGTGTGGGTATGGGCAGGAGCACGATTGCCTGGAGGAAGATAAATGTATGACTGGTTCGGCGAGCACATAGATTCCACTGCAGTGCCAGCTTAGGGGTGAACGAACTTGAGTCCCTCGTCCAATACTACTCTTGGGCCCGTCACGAAACGGCCCGAAGAGTGATCCACGAAAAAAAGAAATATAGATCCAAGCTGCTGTTCGAGTCAAGCGAATGGCAACACCCCTTTCGGCGCCTATTTCTTGCCCGTGTGACGAACGACCGTCGTTAAACTTCGAAGGGTTCCAAGCCGCTGCAAAAAGCACGTTAAGACAGAGAGCAGGAAATGGGAGGGGAAACAAAGGAAAAGATAGAAAAACTTCTGCCAGGAAGAAGAGTTTTGCAAGCCGGGCTTTAAGACGAGTCTGCCCAGTCCCGGCTTGAAATAACACAACGCGGAAGTCGCAAGGGTCACGCAGACTTCGGTCGCGCGGACAAAGGAGACGCACAAACTGCCGAAGATGTTTCCAGAGAGCTGAGCACGCTGCACAACCAACAATGCCAGCTGCTTTTCCTGTTTATTACCATTCCTCGAGGTACAACACAACAATTGATTTATGACTTGAGGCAACAGGGTCCACACGCGATATAAACAGGAGTCCAGTAAAAATGCACAGCATCAACACCTCTTCTTTCTACCAGTCATGTCGAAGAGTTTACTCGTTTTAAATACAAGTTTGGGGGAAAGGGGAGGGGGGGGAGGGGGGGGTCTTGAAGTGCAGCTTGTGAGACGGTCCTTGCACGTCTTGCCCTTGTTGCAAACGTCGCTCGGTTGTGGGAACCACTCGCTCCAAAAATGCTTTCTAGTCACTGTCGCAGAACACTTGCTGCCGAAAGTCGCAGACAACCCGGGTGGCGCTTCATTGTCGCGGTCTACCGGCACTGCCGTCCATCGCTGCCCTGCCGGTCGATCGACTTGCGACTGTTTTTTTTTTTTCCTGGTCGGAGACAAGAGAACGCCTAGAATAACGGAATGTGCCTTGGCGTGCCTTTGGTATGGGTTGGACTGACTGCTCAACACAACGTTAAGGGGAGCAAACAATGGTCGGTGCACAGATAGACGACTCCTGCCACGACCTCGACGTAGAAGCTGTTCCACGACAAAACTAGACAGACGTCGCTCAAACAGTTTCACGGGAAGCTTTACAGCGCAACGAAAATGTGTGCAAAACCACCTAATGAGACTTCTCGTGCCTCTGCCGCTTGTGCATTATCATACGCCCGAAGGTCTAAAAACAAGGTAGATTAGCTTTGCAACAAAAAAATAACTTAACGAGGTTGACAAAAAAACAAACAAAAAAAAACCTTCTTGGTGCGAGCGGCAAATGACCGAATTACATCGCGGACGGGGCATTCCTCTTTGCGGATCGATAAATTAAAAACGCCGGAGAGGAGGTGCGGCAATACCGTTATGGGCTACCGCACGCCATATCTCCTACTTTGATCTTGGACAGGAGACGCAAAGAAATCGCTCCGAAAGAGATCCCCGAAAAAACGGGACGATGCGCCGAGAGAGGAAAAACACGACCGACTGCATAGATCAGACAGCTAAAAGTGCCGGCGGAGCAATGCACCGTAATGCAGCTTTCTAAAGAAATAGGGATGACCCGGAAATCTGCGCAAGAAGAAAGACCACGCAAAAGCCGGAGCGGGCGTCTCGGCCCGCATTGTCGATGGTTGCGAAATGCACTCCAGGACACCGAGTACGTCTTTGTGGCAAAAAGCGACCGGAGCGCCTCGTCGTCTGCGACGGACACTCGGAAGCCAATCCGTAGATGCCCAACCTCATCCAAACGGATTACGATGTCAACCCAACTCATTGTTTAAGATTAAAAAAAAAAAAAAAAAAAAAAAGAAGAAGAAGAAACAAGCAAGACAAAATCTATTCTCCTCGAAACAAGCTAAAGTCATGTTCCGCCCAACGCCCGGCACGAATCGGATGAAACCGGAACGAAACGTCTGCACAGAAGTCGGCCGGGCAACAAATGCCGATCGAAGGCGAGCAGTTGGATTCGAAACTTTAAGACCAAGAAAGTCAATGTCCGTCGTCCCATGCATACAAAAAAGAAGAAAAAAAAAAGGGGCATTTCATTAGCAGATGACGCGAGTCACACTCCAGACGAGGCTGATCGTACGGTGACTCGGCGCACAGGACCCCCGCACAAAGGGTGGTTCGTCACACGTTTCCCGTCGCGTCGCGCGCGGCCACCCGGACACTCTCAGCTGACCGAAGAGGACTGCGGGTAGACGAGCACAATGGTGTTGGGCACGGGGGCGGCCGTGAAGACGACGGTGGTGGGAGCCGTCTGCTGTGGGCGGTCGCAGTCGTCTGAGCCGGACACCTGGAGGCACTGCTGGGCGGCCAGGGCCTCCTCCTCGAGCCGCCACTGGTCCGGGAAGTCACTGCCCGGGTGCTGCTGCACGTGCAGGCGCAGGATCAGGTCCCGGATGTCCGCCCGCTTCTGGGCCACCCGGTCCTCGGGGAACCAGTCCCCCAGGTCCAGCTTGAGCAGCTTCCCCAGGTTGGGTGGATTCTGTGGGGGAGGGACCACGCAATGTCCCTCTCTTTCTGAGATCGTCGCTACAAAGACCCCCCGTGTCTAAGTAGCTAGTCAGCCAATGACAGTCTGAGCTCTCGCGTCTGCTCTGCAGTTTTACGCATTCCCCTCGCTCGGCTGAAGCCTCCAAGTTGTAAGTGCACTAAAAGTAATTGTGTTGGTAAAAAGTAATGGCCAAAAGTGAGTTGGCCCCAAGCGGAATCTGGTGTCTCAGCTTCACCATAAAATTCTAGAATTCTGTAATGGCACCCTCTTAAAATGAAGAGATAAATGGTGAAAAACATGAGGTGGGCTATCTTTGGAGATGAGACAGTCAAACCTTATATTAAATTAATGATAGTAGTAGTAAGCATTGTCTTAAGGGGGGACACCACCCAAAAGAGTAAATTTTTGAACCACTTGTCGGATTTAAATTATATTTACACTGCTTGTTTCTGTTGATGTTGAGAACATTTCTGCCAATTTTTGTTAACCCGGGTGAAGTACAAAAAAAATTGCAAACGTTCAAAGACGAAAGTGGGTGTGTCTGCTTAGGAAAACTATCATTTTGAAATTACTTATAAATTTGTTGTTTTCATGTGTTATATTGCATTAGGACAGTTCAAAGCAGATAACTATGGAGCTATATTTCTATGTTATACCATCTTTCATGACAAAAAAGCCACATAAACACAAATACAGTTTTTTAAATTTCCATCCTTTGTCCAAACTTTTAGTTCTTGAGCATGAAAAATGACAAAAATAAAAAATACAAGCTCATAGTTATCTTCCCCTTAAAATTTCACCCCAGAAAAATTCATAAAAATGAATCCAAGTTGCATAATAGCAAAATGATAGTTTTCCTAAAGTGAAATTTATGCCAAAAAGTGGAATGGAGAAAAATGCGTTCAAAGTGCTCCAACCTCTACCTTTTCTTTAGCATCAGTGGACCGAAAATAATTTATAAAAAATTAACTGTGCAGTGTAAACTAATGAAACTTTCTGGGAATACTCTCTAGATGTTGGTGGATGTAAATATGACATTTTTTAAAATGAACTTTTTTTTGCAGAAATTGTTTTTTCTGGGTAGTGTCCCCCCTTAAGACGGAAAACCTGAACAGTTGGCCACTCCTAAAAATCGGTGCGAGTCAGTTCACGGTTGGGGAGTGGTGACATAAGAACTGAGACTGCAGATCGTGGACACGGCAAATTTGCGTTTCACGAAGTGATAAATGTAAGAATTTGCTACAACTCGCGTGTCACGGGAAAGGATACCGTAGATTGCGGATGCAGCGGATTCGCGCTCGATGTTATGGATATTTATCTAAAGAAACCGGATGGGCGATCTTTCGCGGGAGGTCGTTGATACAGGATTTTATGGTAGACGAGAAACTTGGCCAGCGCAGTACCACTGCTGGCCTGGTGTCTTTGACGTGCATCACGCAATAGTGATGCACAACCGCATGCCGGCACGATTCTCATCTAGATCAAAAAGGGGCTGGGGAGGGGATTGAGGCCAGGATCCCTGGGTTCCGCAGTGCGAGCTTTCGCTGCGTGTCCTCCGATTTGCGATGCGCTAACACGCTTGGCTACCGATGTCCCCTGTAGGTACGCTACAAAACTGTATATGTGGGTCGCACCGACGTCGCGTCAGCGGCCATTTGGGTGGTGCTGTTGCTGAGCGCGTACCTTCTGTAGCAGACATTTCGCACTGCAGAATTTATTTTTCTTGGGAAGAACGAGCAGGAATGATTGCCAGCAGGATGCGACGACGTCACGCGCGAGTCACGTATAATGCAAAAAAGGCAGAATCACAAAGGTACGAAACATACAAACCTCTGTGACACCTTTTTGTTTGCTGTTTGAAACATCCAGCATTGCAACAACTCAGAGTTGGATGTTCCAAAAGAGGGCCAAAAACCAGCACTGATGTGAAACGAACAACCTCCCTTTCTGCCTTTCTAACAATCTCTCCGATTCAAACAAGAACCTCCAAGCTGAAACGATCTGGCCCCTTCAGCAAAATGCTGGCCACCATTTTAAGGTCTTCGGAGACTCTGCCCGATATCAACCTGGTCGGTAGAGCCCAGTTGTTCCCTGCCATCTTCTGTGCTTCTCGCAGATTCCTCGAGCTCCCGCATTTTCTCGACTGTCCCTGCCCAGAAGTAAAGCGTTTTTGCAAGTTTGTTCTATTTTGGCAGATTTCAGCCACTCGTTCGTGCACAACATTCCCTAGTATGAGTATTATTGCTCAGAGTCTCTAGCCTGCTTCCTTTCTTTAGTGTGGAGTCCTGGAGGGGCTTCTAGGTTGCCATTCAAGGCAAATATGGGTTCTCCAGCAGTGAGAAGTTTGAAACCCCCGGTCAGTACACACGGTGAAATAACGCTTGAACAAACTTTGAGGAACCTCCAGAAGCGAAAGTCGACTCAACCGAAAGCACTGGACACAACAAGCTTTTGTTAGGGAATTTTACAAAAGCTCATTCCTACGACCAGCTTGTTCAACTGGAGTTTGTTCAAACTGTATTTCACTGTAGACAGAAATGCACGTGAGGGGCTGTCCAAACAGGACATGTTTGCTGCATTCACAGAATTTGGTGTGCCGGAGGTTTTCCTCCAATCCTAATCCGCTTTGGGAAATTTTTTTTTTCTTTTTTGCAGGGGCGAAACGCTTTTTTTTGATTTCGTCCTTGGACAGGGGCTTGGAGCGTGGTTTTGGGGCCTTCACCGTTGTCGTCGTCAATCCCAACCTTCCGAAAACAAAATAAAAAGGGGAGGAGAACACAGGAAGGAGGCAGAGAGAAAAGCCATGCAGTTTGCTCGGTTGATTACCTCGTTCGACACAGAGGTGCGTGCTGCAATTTTCATGTCTTTTTCAGCGAATTGAAGCTACTCAGGGCGACATGCTGGCTAAGGTTATGGCTCTCCAAAATGAACAAAAAAGTATGAGTGCTTCAATAGGTCAGCTGTCTGCGAGAGTAACTGCTATTGAGGCGGAGCTGGCCGAGGCAAAAGCTGTGTCAGGTGCTGCAACATCGGGCGTCAGGTGTCGGTTGAGATAGCTAACATTCAAAAACAATCTGATGATCACAAAAACCGACTTCGACCATGTAATCTGTCATTTTTTGGCTGTCCTGACGCTCTGAATGAAACGTGGAGTCAATCGGAAAAAATTGTACTTGCTTTCTGCTCAGAAAAACTGGGCATCCAGCTGGACCCCTGCAATCTAGAACGGTCGCACCGCTTGGGTAAATTTCAAGATGACAAGAACAGACCTATTATCGTCAAATTTTCTCGTTTTAAAGACAAAGAGAGTATATTGGTTTTCGGATTTAAGCTGAAAGGAAGCGATTTTGCTGTCCATGATGATTTTTCCGCTTCAGTGCGACAATCTCGAGCCAAACTATTTGAGTACGGAAAGAGCCTTAACGTATCTTTTAAGGTGCGCTTTGATAAATTACACATCAGTAACACACGCTATTTCTTTGATCAAGATTCACAGTCAGTTGTCGAGCTAAATGCATAGCAAACAAAGCAAAAAGCTAAGGGAAAGATAATCAGTTCCCGCCACATTGAACCGCGCGATAAAAACCAACTACATTCTGTTCTTTTTACCAACATTCGAAGTGTTATACCGAAGCGCGATAATCTTTGTGCCGTCACGGCGGACAGTGAATCCGATATCGTAGCCTTAACAGAAACATGGCTTCATCCTAGTATTGATGACAAAGAAGTATTCCCCCATAATGATGACTGGAACATTTTTCACCATGACAGAGCCATTCGATGAGGGGGTGACATATTTATAGCTATAAAAAAAAAAGTATTTCTTGTTTTGATGTTACGATTTCAAATAGAAGCATCGAATTTTCTGCGATATGTGTTTGAACGCCATCCAATAAAATCGTTATGGCTGTATGTTACAGACTACCTGACTGTGATTCATCGTTCACTATCACTCTTTCCTCCATATTGGTTGATATTAAAAACCGTTTCCCAAAAGCTGACTTGTTGCTTTTTGGTGATTTTAATCTTTTACTAATCGATTGGGTCAATGTATTATCTGATGGGTCACGCACATCGACAGAATTTCTTGACATGTGTCAAACCTTTAATCTGATGCTGGTGATTAACCAACCGACACACACTGGTAACATTCTCGACCTCATTTTAACTACATCACCGGACATTGTAAAAACAGTACGTCATTGTAACGGTTTGAGCAACCATAGTTCCCTTCACGTTGACCTGTCATTCCCGGTATTTGTCAAAAACCCAATCTGTAAAATTATTCACGATTATAATAAAGCCAATTACGTAGCAATCAACAATGATTTATCAGATTTTTATAGCTTGTACGTAACTGAATTCTCGATAAGATCTGTTGAGGAAAACTAAGTACTTTACAAGAATAAAATAAGTGAGCTGGTTAGATTATACGTCCCTACTTTACGTATTAGGACGGACTCATCGAATCCATGGTATAATAAAGCGCTCTGGTCATTGTGCAATAGGAAAAAACGACTGTTTGCAAAGGCAAAACAAACTAACTTATCTGTTGCCTGGGACGCTTGCTACACTACGCTCAAAAACTATGCCCAAACCATTAAGCAATCTAAAATTAAATTTTTTTCCCAGGACTTGCCCGCAATCTTGCAAAATAATCTGAAAACATTGTGGAAGCTTATGTCACCTAAAAGTGGCCACGTAAATATCAATCTGAAAGATATTGCTGGTGAGCCTGTACCGGAGAAGGAGTGCCCTTAGTGCTTAATGAATACTTTTCTTCTGTGTTTACCACTGAATCCCCACAAAATGTTCCAACTGTCCCTGAAGAGTGTTATGATTCCATGTCGTTGATTACTGTTAACTCATCAGGTATCGTTAGGCAAATGGAAAAACTACCGCTCACTTCCTCAGCTGAACCAGACAATATTAATGCAAAGATCTTAACAAAAAATACCGCCAACATTTCCAGTGAAATTCTCAGCCCCATCTTTAATCAATCTTTTTCCGAGAGTTGTCTGCCTTCCGACTGGAAGATTGGGAGGATCGCCCCAGTCCACAAACAGGGAACTCCATCTTCCGCCTCAAACTATCGTCCCATCTCTCTAACCTGCATTGCGTCAAAACCTTTTGAGCACAAATTACATATTCTAACATCATGACTCGCCTAACGCCAAATAATTTTTTCTTCAGGCACCAGCACGGTTTTCGTAGGGGGTTCTCCTGCGAGACCCAACTATGTGAATTTGTTCATGAACTGCAGACTAACCTAGAACGCCATATACAAACCGACGCCATATTTCTCGACTTTTCGAAGGCATTTGATTGTGTTCCCCATCAACGTCTGCTTTCTAAACTATCCTCCCTAAATTTAGATCCCCTTGCATATTCATGAATTAGCAGCTTTCTCGCGTCTCGTATGCAATACACGGTTGTTAACGAGCATGAATCAAAGCTAACAAACATCACTTCGGGTGTACCTCAGGGTTCCGTCCTTGGCCCACTGCTTTTTCTTATTTTTATTAACGACCTCCCACATGACAGTTCCTGCAAAATACGACTTTTCGCCGATGTCATCCATAACACCATCTCAACAGACACTGATAATCTTTTCCTTCAAATGATCTCATAAAATTAACGACTGGTGCGGAAAATGGCTCATGTCGCTTAACAAATCTAAGTGTAAGCTAATCCATTTTACCCGCAAGAAAACTCATTTACCCTTTCATTAAACCCTAGACAAAGACGTGATCGAATCAGTTTCAATGTATAAATATCTTGGCCTTAGACTAACGCCTGACCTCTAATGGAAACCTCACATCGAAGCCGTTTCTGCAGAGGCTTCCCAGGCCTTCGGATCTGCGAGACGCCCCTCCTCAAGTCCGAAAGTTGGCATATGAAACTTATGCAAGGCCAAAATTAGAATATGCATCTGCAATCTGGAGTCCTCATCAAGTCTATCTAATCAATCACCTGGAGTCAGTATAAAACCGAGCCGCCCGATTTACCTTATCATCGTATGACCACTTCACTAGTGTCTCTTCTCTAAAAAGTCAACTCGGGCTTATACCCTTACTCATTCGAAGGAAACTCTCCCGTTTATGCCTTCTTCATAAAATTTATTATCATTGCCCAGAACTAAAGAACGCCCTGCTCTCAACCCCCGATAGAATATCCTCCCACCTAAACAACTCTTGTGCAATAAAACATAATTCTAAACAACTCTTGCGCAATAAAACATATTTCTGGTAAAACTAACTCATTCCTCCCATATGCCATCACACAGTGGAACCAGTTGCCATCCTCCATCGTCAGCACCTCTGATGGAACAGTGTTTTACGATAATTTACTAGCCCATTATGTATAATTTCTCATGTTCTTGCTTATAGTTACTGTTATTGTTCTACTACTGCGTCTGCTATTGTATTCTTTGTATTACTGCACCCCCCCCCCCCCCCCCCCTTATGTAATGCCCTAACCGGGCCCTTAAAGGGGCGGTGCAATGATTTTAACACTGAACGAATGTGCAGCTTGTATTTTTTATATTGTTTACTTCGGCATAAGTAAGAGAAAAAGTGCCGCCATACCCCGAACTACCTCTATTTCTCTGCGTAATCGCAAAATAAAAAACGTTTTTTTCCCCAACCTGCGGCCACATGGTGGCCGCAAATGGAACCTGCGGTGTGACGTCATTCGGAGTGGTTTTTGTAAGTGATAGTGTTAGGCAATTGTAAGCTTGATTTAAGGTTAAGTTTAAAAAAATCTTGTTGTTTAGGCATGCAGAAACGCTTCAAAAGCGTTTTTGCCGCTAAAAGGGTATGAATTATTTGTGGCGCCATCTACCGCAAGTCAACAAAAGCTGCCGTCATCCGTCGACGCCCGAGGCGCCTACGGCGGCTACACGAGCAACCCGGACGTTTCGTCTTTCCCTCGCTCGACGGAGTGCGTTGGTCGTAGTCCGTAGTATCGTGGTATCGTTATTGTTCCTGGTGTCTCGACCTCGACTTCGACTTCGACTGCACGCCGCGTCGACTGCCCGCCTCACAAGTCCAACTGACTTACTATACGCAAGCATCTTGCGCTCGACGTCGCTCAGGCCGTCCGCCCATGCCACCATGTTGGTCGGAATTCGGCGGGAGAGCGGGAGAGCGAAAGAGCGGCGAGCCTGGCGAGCCGGCGAGCGCTGGGGAAACGGAAGCCAGAAGAAACCAACCGGAAACCAACGCCACTCCGAATGACGTCACAGGCGAAGCTGGTGCCGCTTCAATGTTGAGTTGAGGGGTGCCAGAGATACCAATTTCTTTTATTTTTTTTAATGAAAACTAGGGCAAGCAGGAAAGAATAGTTTTCGGTCCTTCGTTTTATATGTGTCCGGGATCAATTCCCGCAATTAATTAGCCAAAGTCCCGAAATTGTTGCACCGCCCCTTTAAGGTGAAAATAAATGAAATGAAATGGAATGAAAGTGTGCGTGGCATTTGCTGTGTCCCGTTTGGATGGCCCCGGGTGTCGATTTTTCAAGGTTCTAGCCGCAAACGCCGCGCGAAAAAAGGTTCTTCCGGGAAAAGGGACCCCACCTCGAGGAAGCTCTCGACATACTGCAGCAAGTAGATGCCGCAGTCGCTGTAGTTGCCCTGCTGCGGCGTCATGGGGGTGTACCCCCTCATGTTGGAGGCGCAGAAAACCAGCTGGCTCTTTTTCTTAGCCCGCCACTCCTCCGTCAGGTACCTGGGGGACAGCAAGTGGGCGGGAACAGGGTGACTCAGCGGACGAGAGTGCGGTCGGCCCGGCGACAACGCCTCGGACGAAGACTCTCCCCCGAGTACTTTGCGCTCTTCTTAAACCCCCAATCTCGGGTTGTGAATACATTGCGTGGTTCGAGTTGCTAGTCGAGAGCGTTTCACCTTGTTCTTAAGGGGAGACACTGCCCAGAAAAAAGAAATTTCTGCAAAAAAAAGTTGATTTTGAAAAATGACATATTTACATCCACAAACATCTAGAGAGTATTCCTAAAAAGTTTAATTAATTTTCACTGCATAGTTAATTTTTTATAAATTATTTTCTGTCCACCAAAGCTAAAGAAAAGGTAGGGTTTGGAGCACTTTGAACGCATTTTTCTCCATTCCACTTTTTTGTATAAATTCCATTTTAGTCAATCTATCGTTCGATAATGGAAAAACAGGGAAGACTCATTCTTCCCTTTTCCTGACTGAAATTTAATAAGGAATGCGGCTACGGAACTTTTTTGTCACTTAACGAATGTCTTTTATAAAAAATATTTTGTCGAAGACACAGAAGACCAAAAAGTTGACCAATTTTGCAGAAGAGAAAATTTATAGAAAAAAATTACTTCTTAGAAAAAACGTTCCATAGCCACACCCTCCAGGCATTCTGCTACATATCTAGTTAATAAAAATCTTGAATATCGTGATAATTTTCTGACGATAGATTAACTAAACAATGTAGGCGTGTTGCTGATGGAAGCTACTCTAATTACCTTTTCATTTAACCGACAGACCTGAAATTTTGTTATACACCCTCTAGCATGACCACCAGCCTACCCTGTAAATTTAATTAATTTTAAGACAAGGGTTCAAAAGTCGACCCCCCTAGGAGGTGTGTCCCCTTAAATCCCGAATCTTGAGTTGCGACGACAGCAAACGGTTTAAGTCGTTGCTGTTTTTGTAGCCAATATGGAGCAGAAAAGTGTTGGATTTTGACGTAGACAAAACCGTCTATGTCAAAATCACCAGAAAACTATCAACAGTTTTACTGTTTGACGTCGGGAGTACCGCCGTGGTGTCTGACGCATCCCCAACTGGAGTGTTTATCACGTCCAAAAATGCGATCCTTCGATTCCCGCCCAGTGACGTCCCGGATGTGTCATGCTGTGGCGGCATCCCTGACACCGGTCACGGACGTGTTCCAGACACCACGGCGGTACGTGCGACGTCAGACAGTGAATAGCTTTCTGGTGATTCTGACGTGGACAGCTTTGTCTTCCAGGCGAAAATCAGTCCACTTCCAGCTGGATTATGGAACTCGAAATGAGGCAGTTTAGCTGGAAGTGGATTGATTTTCGCCTGGCAGCTAAGATGAAATCTTTTCCATTTCCACTCCATACCGGTTGCCAAAAAAAGCAACATTGACTGTCTAATGCTTAGGAGAGCGTAGAGTGTGCTCATCTTTCGTCTTCCTCTCCAACATAATTTGTCGGCAGCGAAACGATGCTTCGTCGCTGCAAGACCGAAGAATTCCACGATGACAGACTGCCAAGAACACAGTTTATCTTATATTTTAAACCTAAATGTGGAGGACAGCTTGGTGTACAACTCTACATTGTGGACTAATTATTTGCTTAGTTACATTCCAAGCCACTTGGTGTTATGCACTTGCTCAAGAACCCCCATCAACATGTGGAGATTGGTTACTTTTACCAGATCGACGGACACATACGAGCACCGGGAATCCGACCAATGATTAAATTTTCTTCTAATCCAGGTAATTTATAAAACTACAGTGACCGATGTAAACATTGGTAATACTAAAGCTCGCTTTCCTGACTGCAAATAGAAGTGCAATAACCAAAATGAAGCTGAGCAGACGTTTCAGTCTACATAACCACCCTACACTCTACATAGTTCCAGTGCAACAACCTTAGGCTGCTTAGCAGAGAGGAACTGCTAAGTGACAAATTTACTTTGCAGTGAAAGAAAAACACTTGGAAGTTAAACACAAAGACCAGAAGCCCTTCATATAGCAACTCTTTTTAGAGCTGGACACACCATTTTACTTTAAAACACCTGCAAAACGTAAAAAAAAAAAAAAAAGAAACATTTTTTTTTGCAATATTTTACTTGCATCAAAATTTATTTAAAATCGAATGCAAAGAGGGGTGTGATCCATGCGAATTTCAGGGGGCAGTGAGGCTTTATGACGATGCATGAAGTCGTAGGTATACCGTAAAATTCCGAAAGAACGCCCGCCCAAAATGAAGAGATAAATGGTGAAAAACATCGGGTGGGCTATCTTTGGGGTTGCCACAGCAAAACTTCATCAAAAACCGGCCACAAACCACGTGATGCAGGAACTGATACCGCAGATCGTGGACACCACAAATTCGCGTGTTACGATACAATGAACAAGTGGGAATTTGCTACGAACTCCTGTGTCACAGGAAGGGATACCACAGGTTGTGGACGCAGCAGATTCGCGCTTCACGGTGCTAAGGACCCGCGGAAATCCGCCGAGAACTCGCATCACACGGGAACGGATACCATGGTGAAAAACATCGGGTGGGCTATCTTTGGGGTTGCCACAGCAAAACTTCATCAAAAACCGGCCACAAACCACGTGATGCAGGAACTGATACCGCAGATCGTGGACACCACAAATTCGCGTGTTACGATACAATGAACAAGTGGGAATTTGCTACGAACTCCTGTGTCACAGGAAGGGATACCACAGGTTGTGGACGCAGCAGATTCGCGCTTCACGGTGCTAAGGACCCGCGGAAATCCGCCGAGAACTCGCATCACACGGGAACGGATACCGCAAATCGCAGACGCAGAAGATGCAAGTTTTATGGTGCAATAAACATGCGGGAACCCGCTACAAACTTGTCTGTCATGAGAACCGATATCGCGTGCGCAGATTGCAAACAAAAAGGCAGGAATCCGCTCCAAACTCGTATGTTACGGGAACAAATGCCGCAGATCGCGAACGCAGCAGGTTCGCATTTCAAAGTGCAACATACACATGGGAAACCCGCGTGTTACAAGAACCGATATCGCGTGCGCAGATCGCGGACAAAAACGCGGGAATCCGCTATAAACTCGCTTGTCAGATGTGGCGGTACAGCAAATTGCGCGACTGATGCGATTCCCATCGGCCATTGCGTGACGTCCGGCGGGAATCGGGTAGTGGGCGATGTTTCGGAATTTTTTTGTTGCAGAAATTTAGCCAGAAAAACAGGATAAGCAATCTCTCGGAGGCGGGCGTTCTCTCGGAACTTTACGGTAGTTTCCCTAGAGCCCCTCTTCTCCAGTCTCTCCTAGGACCTTCTTCGGGTAGCTATCTTTGCATTGTTTTTGTGAGCTGAGCAGGCAAGTCTAGCCGTCAAAGTTTGAATGCCACTTTGCGCCGACCGTCGTCGGATCCGTAGCCAAAGGGATCGAAAACCGAGCAGCAGGTCGGAACTATGACCGCCACAACAATGGCAAGTCGTACATGCGAGCTTCAACTGAAGATCGTTCCACGGTCCAAAGACCGGTGCATACGCTCCCTTGAAAAAGTGCTCATGAAGATCTTTGAGGAAAGATGTCCTGGCCATGCCATATCGACAGAGATCGGGCGTGGCCGCAGCATGTTTAGACGAGATGGTAAAGATGTTTAGGAAAGTGCTGCATCAGAAATCGCTACGGCAGCATGGATGACGACGCTGTCTGCGACAATGAAGGTGCCCCAGACAATAGCTGCGGGGACTGCAGTGATGAGTGTATTCAAAATAAAGGTAGGGTTTCTAGAAAAATCTGGAGATTGCTCTCCGTAACTAGTGCAAGCAATATGCGAGGTATTTTTTTTTCTTGTCAAATTGGCACGTAGGAGGTAAGGGTTTTATGCCGGAGCAGATAACACGTGCAAAAATATGATAGGTGAAAGATGACATAAGGTCATCAGCATCCAAAGGACGAGTGAGGTACAACAGGGGGTGCAAAAGCCACTTACTCTCTTAGCGTGGACATTATGCGACACTTGTTGCCTTGGCCTCCTCGAAGAGAGTCCAGGATCAAGATGTACGCTTTCCTGCAACATCAACGAAGAAAAGAGTGACTGTTCAGGACGGCTCGTGCACCAAAAAATCAAAACAACACAAACAGAAAAAAAGAGGAGAAAGAAACACCAACAACAAAAAATTCCCTTTTTAAGTAAAAAAAAAAAAAAAAGATTCCAAGGACACCTATCGTAAAATATCGGGCAAGCGCCCACTCAAAATAAAATAATCATGAAAAAATGGGGCATGGGCGCTTGTTCGGTCATCAATTCTACATATAAATGTACTGTGCATATTTTCTCAGATCTTACAAATTTGGGTATGGGCGCTTAATGTGGTATGGGTGGATGCACGGTATTTTACGGTAAGCACTTCTTATGAGTTGCAAGTGCGAAAGCATGAATGTCGTTCTTCCGCTCCCTTAGTTCGTCTGCGGTGTACTGACGTGGACAGCCACGTTTTGCTACTGCCGAGGTTGCGGCCGCCGACGGTATGGACGCCTCAGGCGCCGCCATGCTCCTCGGCACCGAGAGGAGCAGAAGCAGCCGCTGGGCCCCCCGGCAAGGACTCCAGCAAGGACCTCCAAAAAACAAAAGGTAGTGCCCTTGGCCACTTTTTTGTGTTGTGCACTTGATTGCTGGCCAATCCATCAAGCTGAATATGTAACAACAGCTTACTTCCCAAGTTCGGAAAAACCAAATCCGGGAAAGTTTCTAAGGGGCGGAGGGTTGCGATTCTTAAAAAGAAATATTGATAACAAATTTCCATGAAGACAACTTCATTACATTTATATTGGACTGCTCATGCTAGCGAGATACAGCTGGGCCTCGCTATCATTGCAGCCATAGGTTGTAATCACAAAGATTCCTTGTTTAAGTTGCTGGGAGGGGTAATTTGCGTTTTCCGGGAGATCTTTCTATCAACTGGGAGATTTTTCTGTCAATCATACAACTGTAAAAATTTGTCGAAATTTAGGAGTCTCCAGGGTAATACGGGAGACTTGGCAGGTATGCCATAGTGACCTATACAGTCTAATCTACGGTCTACTGCAATGTAAAACGAAAAGGGCTTCGGCAAAGAGGATGATAACAAAAACAAAAGGATAGTCTAGCTTAGGAGCAGCCCTCTGGAATGTTTCATAGCCCTGTTTCTCTCCTGCAAGTGTATGTGTTGTGACAAGACAAACTAATGTGTTTTTATATTGTCTTGCGAAAATCCTGAGAGGATAAAAGACACATGGAGCAGAAATAAGAAAGCACAATGAAACGGCTGGTCCATCCCATGGGCATCATAGAATCTCAGTGGCCACACCAAGAAAACCTGGTTCAACTCATGGTTCAACTTGACGGCACAAGCGACAGGTATCGGAAGCTTATCAAGAGGCCAAGAAAAATGAGAAATCTCAAAGTGGTCTACAGACAGCAAGGTCTACACAGTATTGAGGAATATGTCTGGAAAGATTTTGGCTCTGGTCTGGGAACAAGTTTGCCTGAATAACAATGCTTTGTGTTAACTTTTTATTTACATGAAGTCAGAACGACACAAGCTTTCAACTGGGCATGAAATCTTTTGGCCATGCTTCTCGAGACCTTTGAGAGACAACGTCCACTGCATCAGCAGGTTTCTCCTTACATGACTTTTATGGGGCAAGATCACAGAGTAACAGAAGCCTCTGAGCATCCACTTTGGTCAGACAAGTTGTTAGCCTGCTGGTGGCCAACAACCTTTAGGCAGACTTTTTTGGGGAAGATCCGTTGCCTCAAACCGTTAATACCAGGCGACTACTTGGATAGTCTAAATTTTCTTTGAGATGTCAAGTTTTGCTGGACAATATTGGACCCACTTAAATTTGCTTTATTGTCTTATTACAGAGGCTGAACAATTGATTTTTTTTATCATAAATATACATTCAGGATGGTATTTGAGATTCAACAACATACCACACTGATAATGCTGTTTGCATACAACACTCCAGCAGGGCTGCATATTTACTTCAATCTGGGTTTGCTTCTTGTAACACATATCAGAAATAATAATTAATTGCGTTTTCATGCCGCAAAAACGGACATTTGTTTGCTATTAGTCTTGTCTCGTTAATATGGACCTGTGTTCCCCAAAACAATTGTTCATTATGTTAGTGTTTTATAATCATGAATCAATGTCAAGATCACAAATAATAAACAATGAATGATATGTTACACGTTTTTGAAAAAAAAAACTGGAGACGCAAACAAAGAAGGGGACGAACACAAAATGGCATGTTGTTAATGTTTGTCGTCGGCAATTGGATAGGGAAAGAAGGGCAAGTGAACCGGCTGGAAACCCCTAAAAATTTTAACCAAATTGTCAGTGCCCAGGTCTTATCTGACCACAGTGAAGATCTGAGTTACTTCTGTAACCAAAGAGCTTCACTAATCTTTTGTTGTTTTTCCCCCCTTTTTTTTTGCACTTCTGGTTCGTCTTTGAAATGTCCATATAAAAAAAGAGAATAAAAACATGTATTTACCATTTCGCATTTCTGTATTTAACATTAACAAGGTAGAATTGTCCGAAAACCACTGTAACAAGACACAACTATATTGTGTTAATAAATCGCAGAGATATTTTTGCGCCATACCGTATTTACTCGCGTAATGAACACACTTTTTTTCCCCGATAAATTGACACACTTTGCGCAAATGTCATTTTAGGTGCCTACATGACACGGCAGGGTACTGTAGCATATCTCCAATAAAGGAGGCACACCCGCAACTGATTGTGGGTGCGCCACGGTAACCATGCTCTGTAAATTGCGAATCCTTTTTAAGGGGGGACATGGGTCTTTGGAGCCAAAAACTTCCTAAAACTGCATTCTTTTGAAAATGGCGATGGCTGTTGTTCTTCTCAATCTACCAGGCTTCTAATTTTATGGATGAATGTTTGAGCTATATATCAATTTATAATGTCTACACGGGCTGAGTGTGTATTGAAGTTGACTGTAAAACATTATTTTCACAAAACACAACTTTTGGACTCATTGAAAATTTGCAGGAGGGCTATCTCAGCATCTAGCGCAGATAGAAATATAACTTTTCCTGAAATGTGTAGCTAAATGTGTGATGCATACAATGTTGAGAGTAGATTTTTTAATATAAGCCTAGAAAGTTTTCTATTTGATCTTTTGTTTTATTACTTGTTAGCCCTACACTGAGCACTGAACTTCAATGTGCGGTAAAATCACTAATAATGGATGTATCTTAAAAGTACTTCCAACATTGTATTCTCTACACTTCATAGTATATAGCCATGTGTTAAAAATGATATTTTGTTGAGCGTTTTTTTTCCTATCGTTGGTCCAAACAAAGGCAGGCAAGTTTGAATTCTCTTGAGGACAATTCTACTGACTAAGAAAATAACCAGATATACGAAATCAGCACAAAACGCTGAACAAGCTTATGCAGTTTCATTGGGTTCGGTCATAAAATAAGAAAAAAAGCTCTAAGACCAGTGTTCCCCCTTAAGGGCAAACTTTTGTCCAGAGCAATAAACAAAACTTGAACTACTCGCAATACATCTGAGTCAAAAGCAGTTCAACTGCATGTAAGGTAGTAGTAGCACAAGACTACCAAACCGCAACCTGTCTTTCGATTTAAAACGCATTCCATTTCTCCTTTTGGAGAAGTGCTTGTGTGACCGGGAGGGAGGCGGGGGAGTGTGGGGTGGGGGGTTAGGGGAAGGAGCCGTGGGCCGCACTTTAACACGCAAAGAGCCGCAGCTTGGCCACCCCTGATAAAGAGTATTGGAGTCTATTTTGTAACTTTTGTTTGTACCTATGTTTTACAAGTTAAAAACAAAAAAAAAAGGAAAAAAATTTAGAATTAAAAACAGCGCTGCGTCCGTGTTACTTTTTCGTCTGGTCCTCGTCTTTTCGGGCTGTTTTCAATTCCGAAGTATGTACCAACTCGCCCAAGCCTCAACTTTCTCAACTTTAGGAAAAAAAAAACATCAACAACACACACTACTTTGTCTTCATTCCTTTCCCATGAAGCGCCATCATCAAGCTTCATGTCTGCCACTGCAAGTGCGGTAATCGGCACTCTACAGTCAATGATACAATGGCTGTAGATACCTCAGGAACAATCCTTGGTCAGGTTTCATACAAAGAAGCAAACCATTAAATAGTATTCTTATTCACAAAGAAAGCTCGCGAGGTTTTGTTCCCCAGAACCATCAATAAACTCGGCTCTTGTCGGCATGGAAAACCAATAGACCTTTTGCTAAATGACTAAAACACTACGGCGCATGCTAGGTTTGTAGGCACATGCATTGCACATGCTTGTCCTGTGCCTCAGAAAGATTTAAAGTAAATGATCAAAATAAAAGTTGTTCCTTTGCCATTCCAGTGCAGCAAAGGCAGAGGTAACACAGAACGTGATGTGTTTTTGTGGAAAAACTATGCACGCATGTGCAGAGCTGTATATTGGGAGAGTCTGGCTAGTGGATGTGGCGACAGAGGCGCCGGAGAGGAGAAAAGTGAGGAGGAAAGGGAGGAGAGCACCAAAGGAGAGAGGAAGGGAGAAAAAAGGGAAACGAGCGCCATTTTGACGCAAAACTTGCAGGCGCAGAGCACTTTTGAGGCTATGCGTCGTCTGCTACGAACTCATTTCTTTTTCATCTGAATGAAAATTTGCGTTCAAATATGGAGAAACTTCATTTGTTAGCTTTTTAAGCCACCGAGGAATAAGACTATAGTCAAACCCGACTATATCGAACCCGTTTACATTGAATTATCCCTTATATCAAACTTCGTGCACAGTAATGTTACAGTGATAATATACAGCAAAAACCTACGGTTACATTGAACAAAAATAGCATCCGCTACCGATATATTGATCTGCCAATGGCGCTGTTTTGCTCTGCAAGCTAGCTCTCCCCCAAAGCAGGCGGCCAGCAATCTCATTGATTGCTTGGAAGAAAAAAAAAAGAAGACTTTTGTAGAAAGAGCGGTGAGAGGGTGCCCCTTACTCCCTCTCCCCGCTCCCTCCACAGAAGAGAATGTTAATTTTTCTTCCAAACAATTACCGCTGCCGCCCAAAAAAAAGCCAGCTTGTTTTGCTAGCTGGCTTTCCCCCAACGCCTGCCTTGGGGGAAAGCCAACTTGCAGAGCAAAACGACGCTCTGCAGGAGAAGGTGCGCCTGCTCGGACGTGCTCTGTGCTCTCGGCATAGTTCGGCGCTAACGCGCGAATATAGAACGCAGCGGCCCTAGCATTTTGGAGCCCGTCGATAGCGTAGAAAAATATTGTTATCGCGGATGCAATGAAAAAAAAGCAGCAGAAGATGCAAGACTATTTCATTGTAATATGTCAGCAGAAGCGGATTTTTGAGAGTCAAATTCATTAACCCATTCGCTACCGCGCGCGTCGCGCGCTGCCGAACGTCCGTATTGCATGTTTTTCTCCTAAAACAGGGCCACACTACGTGTGACTGTTTTGCTTGTATAATAAGCTTTTCAGTAAAACTAAGTGCAGAATATAAAACTCGGCGCAGAAAACAAGAAAACATATTTATTTACATGCTTAAGTGGTTCTTCAAGTCTTTAAAGGGGTCATGAAACGCTTTTCCAACTTTTTCCTGTTTAGCTTTCCTCCTCAACTTATAAATCGCCCATTCCACCAAACAGTTAAAGAAGACGAAAAGAAGGGAGGCCCCTCTCGCTCGGAATCTGGATTGTGTAGCCGGACAGAGCCATTGTCCCCCTAGAAGATTAGCCCATCGTTCAAAATTCAGACAAAAGTTGCTTTCCCCACTCCGTTCATCCCGAAGCTGACAGTGCTGTTGAAGCTACGTGCTCCTTGGGCCAGCCACACTTGCCACGTGAGCGTGGCAAATGTGGCTGCAGAGAATGAAGTCAGGTGATGAAAGGGGGGCGGCTGATTGGTCCGGCAAGCGCGTAGCTTCCAGCACAATGTCAGCTTAGGGGTGAAGGGAATAAGTGAGGTCCGGTTGCGTGTGACGTCAGCTTGGACCCGATGACGCGCTTTTGGGACCGTGGATGTATCACAGTGAAAAGGCAGAGAGGTTGCGAAGGGGAGGAGGTACGAAATAGTCCGCTCTGTTTTCAAATTTTCGCACTGAAAGTCGGACTTTTGACTTTCTACCTTTTTTCTTTTGGTCCACTGAACGATGTGCTATTAGTAAAATCCCAATCTGAAATGAGTTATCCCAACCCAAAAATCGTTTCATGGGCCCTTTAAATCAATAGGCCCTCGCAGATTCTTCCTCTTATGAAAGATCTCGAAACACTCCCTCCTCGGTCGCATAGGCGTCTCACAACGAGTGCACTCTTGTCGTGATGCAGACTCAGAATTGCTGTCGGAATCGCTCCCTTCGTCGACAGAAGGCTGCGAAAATTCACTATTCTAACCAGACGTCCCGTAATCATCGCTGTCGAAGAGGATATCTACGATTTCATCGTCAGAAAGGCGACACCGTACACTGGATGCTGCCATCTTCTCCAAGCAGGCAGCGATCGGGCAGGAAAAACGACACACAAAAGAACAAGCTCAAACAAACACAGCAAACAGAACGACCCTCGCCATCTGTTGGCAAAGTATCTAACAACACTATCCTAAGTCTACATAGCGCACTATTTATGATTGGCTCTTTAAAACAGAAATTCATGCAGACCAGCGAATCACCGGCTTTGACAATATGGCCCCTGATGGCACGCCTGGCGATTCAACGACTTCGGTAGCGAATGGGTTAGAACGTTTAAATCAAATTACCGCTATATCGAACCAGTAGACGTTTTTTTGCGAGTTCGATATAAATGGGTTTGACTTATATTACTTCCTTGTCAGAGCCTGCCAAATAAAAGGAAAGAACTGAAATTTAGATGTTGATTCTATGCATTCCACCGGGAGAATAATAAAAACGGCGCTCAGCTGGAAGGAGCCGGGAGTTCACGCACATGTGCTCACGCCTCTTGCGCTACAGTGTGGGCTGATTGGCTGACGCGGGAGGGGGACGTTACGGCGGCGAGATCATAGACTGGCCAAACTCTCCCCATATACGGCTCTGTGCATGCGGAGAGTGGATGGCACGAAGCGGCCCTGTGCCGTGCAAGGCGCGAGAGCTCAGTAGATGCTTTGCTTGTGGGTGCCATCCTCTGCAGTTGCGTCGTAAATGCGATATTCTCGGAGCCTGATGGAATGCGAGATGCAGCAGACGGAGCTTGCGGAAAACAGAACAAGTGGAACGCGGCAGCGCCGAGCAGAGCCCTGGCACCAGCTAGCGGCGAAAGAAAACCAAACAGTCGAAACTATCTAACCCGTTCCGGCAAAGGAGTACTATGGTTTTTTTTTTTCTTCTCTGCTTTTCTGTTGCTCTTGCACTCTTTTTCTGGGGTAGGCAGGAGTTCCCTCATTCTATGGAGCAAAGTGCCACTGTATGTCTGATTATGTTGCCACTGTATGTCTGATTATGTGATGTTTTAACCCAGCCGGGTGTAACACGGAGGCACTTGAGGAAGAGGTCTGGCTGGCACTGGTGTCAAATCAGTGAGGAGATGAGCACTACGTCAGCATTTGGCTGGCAGTCGGCCTGTCGACTTCCGTTGCTGGCACCTAACTGAATATGGTTAGGTGCCAGCCATATGACTCATTCTGAATTAAAACGATGACAAATGCACGTGCCGACTACCATTCGTATCAATTCTCGTTTTAAAAAACTAATGCTGTAGTAGCTACCATATGTTGCAAATATAAACACATACCCGACACGCTTTTTGATGATCAAGTCACTTGGCAAAAGGTCTACTGCATGACCCAACTATTTCCTCTCACTCACAAAATAGCGAAACAGTAACCTTTGCTATAACGAGGAAGTCGAGCGGATCGAGCCATTTGTGGTGCACTTACTCTGCCGTGGCATCAAATGACTTTGGTAAGGGGTTTTCGGCATCTTCTGCTTCCAGAGGTTCCTCGGGCTCCGAGTCCAAGACACTCTCGCCATCCTCCTGACTTGAGTCTGCATGTCAGAAGCGCCGCCGACATGTCTTCACAAATTCACAAAGCCCCCCGCTATCCCATTTACAACGATTGGAAAAGCACACCCTCACCCTTCAATGGCGTGCAGATGCAAAGCCCAGCAGCGTGGAAACAAGCATTCTGAAAACTGCGGTTTACACTGAGGAGTCTCGAGGAATGCCTATCTCGAGGCACTGGAGAAATAAAGCGGAGCAGAAGCTACAAACCTTCGAATTGACAATGAACACACTAGGAAGTGCTTGGCACATAGTTTTGCACGAATGGATGGCTCAGTTCTGCAAAAACAGTGCCTAAACTGGAAAAATCCTTTACTTTGAGGCAGGAATGACTGAGGAAATTTGGAAGCTTGGGGAAACCCCAAAGGGTACTCGACCCCGGGTTCTACAGTTTGAGAACACTCGCTTTGGAAAAGAGACGCAAGTCCTCAAAACTGTTTCCTAGAAACAGAGGTTCCTTCACCTCTCAAACTTGCCCAACCATACCCATTATAAGCAAACTGCTTTTGCGTTTCGTCAAAACTAAGCACAGCACGACCGTATGGTACCAAGTGCGCCGTACGACGTAGTTAGCCCAAACGGGACACAGGCACTTTTTTGCATATTCAACCAGACGATGCAATGACGGGCACCCAGATTTACCACTTAGGTTATTGCCCCGAAAGAACACTTTCCACCATGCTAATACTGTTGAGACCGGTTATAGCGAAGTCAACGGGAATCGAAAATCACTTTGCTGCATCCGCTATTTCGTTATAATCGACTCCGGTTAACGAAGCACGAACGGGGAAGGGTAAATCGTAATCGCTTTGCTGTAGCCTTTATTTCGTTCTAACCAACTTTGTTCTAACCGGTCTCGACAGTAGTTTTAAAGAATATTTTTATGGTCTGTTTCCGAGCGTAGAGTGCCGTGAAAAGTTCTCACGAAAGCACAATGACAAAGGTTGCGACGGGATCATGTTGCCATGTTGCCCGGCATCGGTGTCCTGTCGTGTCGTGACGGGACGGGACGCTGCGACACGACGGATGCAGTGTCAAGGCCCTTTCATACATTTGCATTCGGAGCGACCACTATGCTTACGAACGAATGCAACCGCTGCAACTTCAACAACAGTACGCGACGTGTACACACACATGCAACCGGATGCAACCACACGAATGAACAGCAAATGAGAAACGAGCTTCAGCTCTTGCTCCTAGCCAATAGTAAGCAACCCAGCTACGCTTACAAACATGGCGGACGGTTTCCTGCCCGACGCGAAGTCCACCATCCTCACCGGAGCAGCCGGAGGTTTCAGCTATGGCGTACAGTCACGAACATCTGCTGTGTGCCTGCAATAGCTGTGCAAAGGCTGGTTCAGACATCTGAAACAAACCCATTATCCACGACTGCATCCGTTGTGACCAAAACGAACGCTCTGCGCCGCGCGTACACTCCTGCAACCACTGCAACAAGCGCAGTGCGTCGGCAGCACGGCGACCGCCTCTCCGCCGTTGTCAGCTATTTCAGCGGTGCCTCTAAAAAGAAGGGGACGCGCTGCCACTCACTTGCGTAACAGAAAATAGGCAGACCGTCTTCTACGACCACAAACATAATTTTTTTTATTTTTCAGGGAACGCTTGCAAAGTAGTGCATTAAAAAAAAAAAAAAAAAGATGCCATACGCCGTCTTTTACGATCACGACTTTAATACACGACTTTGCCAACAGTTAAAATCTCGCCACACGCCTTTTGTATGATTATAAAAGACAATGTAATCTTAGGAGCGATATAGCAACATAAATATAACAGACCTGCCAACCCTACAATGCTGAAAATACTACAGGGGATGCCAAAAAACACTACAATTGTGTGAAGAAATATGAAAACTGTTTTATTCTTCAAAAACTTGGTCTGGGTAAGAAAAATGCCTCAACTAGGGCACAAACACATCATACATTGCACAAAATGTCTTATTCTTCAGAAGTAGAAGGCTGGGCCAACACCGAGGAAGTTGCAGCTTTTGCTTTTCTTAGGAAGTTGTTGTCGAACACTTGTTCATGGCACTTTCCGGACTGGCTGCATCTCACAACTAACGACTGTTCAAGAGTCTTTTTCGACATAGAGGAGCGGAACTGCGTGTGTTGAGAAGGTAATTCCCAAGGCAATGACGTTTGAAGCAGACAATTTTTGCACGCAGAGGAGATAGGCTTTTTGGGTTGGCCGGAGCGGGTCACGTGAACACTGTGATGTCGCCGCGACGTCGCCTCGTCGTCTGCTGCATGATGCCGCTCATGGAATTTTTTAAAAAAAATTACGTCCTTACTTGGCACACAACTCAGCACAAAATATTCTAAAATGTTCCTTTATCATATCAAAAACTATCGTCGTTCCGTACATCTCCACAATACTGAAGAAACAACGATTTTTTCACGTTCTCCCCATGCATTTCTGACCGGAGTCGGAACCTCCGGGAGTTCGCCGCTAGTCGCCGAGAGATGGCGTTCTAGATTGTGCTACTCTGCTCTGAAAGAGCTATAGAGTGCTCTAGCCCGGCCCGTTTTCAGCCAATGGCGCCTCCTCATTTGTCTCCTATACTTCCCAACGAATGGCCAAACTCTCTACATATACGGCTCTATAGCGGCTATACCACCCGTTACAACACTGACCTCAATGACAATTGCCTCACAACGACGAGCGGTAGCTTGCGCCTCCTGGCATACAAGTCAATGTACCAGTGTTGCCAACCCCAACTTGTAAACAGGCGAGATGCAGCTGAAACAAAAACTTTTTTTTTCTTTTTTTTACACAAGGTGTGGAAAATCATACAAATATTGTTGTTAATACGATAATCGTAAGAAAGCGCTAAAAAGCGGACACTTTACGATAAAATCGTAAAACTTGGCAGGTATGAATATAATTTCGTGATCAGACAGACGTTGCGAGAGAGACGTTGCGAGCGTTCAGGATTGCTAACACTAATCAGTGATCACCTTTCTCGGGTGATGAAAACACGTGAAAATTCGCATCCTTTATACGGTACGCACCAGTAATACCTTGAACTTGAACACATGCATGGAATGCGCCAAAAAATAAATCCGGGCGATGTTCGAGGACACAAATGCCAAGAAAGCACCACTGTTGTCGAACTAAACAAACACGACTGCGCAGACGTTTCTGCTGTCTTGACAGTGCCCCCCCGAGATCGCCGCACAAGTAGGTGGATCTTCCCTTCTAGTACGTGCTGGGTTATCATAACGACACACAACGAAAATTCACAGTCAAGGATAGCGCTTTTACGCGGAACGCTGAGCTTCCACCACGCTGTCCACATCGACGATCACCACCGACGCCATGTTTGCAAATAGAAGGAGCCCGGCACAACCGGCAGGCAACACACGCGACCGAGCTCTCCTCGACCTGTGATTGGCCTGTCGTTGCGGTCGTTCCCGAACGTAACGAAAAAGTTCAGCCCGGCTCAACTCCTTGCGTTGCGAACGAACGAAACGACCGTTTGGCGCTTCGTTGCTATGGTAACTCGTCATTCCAACCGGTTGCATTCGTTCGTAAGTGTAGTGGTCGCTCCGAACGCAACTCTGTGAACGGGCCTTCACGCGATGAAATAGTCTCGTCACCCACCTATCCTGTCCTCGGGCACCTGGGGACTTGCTGCGGGGCTCTGCTCGGCAGAGGCGACCCTCTCCTCCTGGGGCACCTCCTGCGGGGGGCAGGAGCGGGCCACTAGGCCCGGGAAGCACACCATGGCCAGGAACCAGTGCGAGTTTTGGTTGATCGGCACCACAATAAAGTCCTTGGCAAAGATATCCACGTGCCGCGTCCACGTGCGCACGTTGCGGTGCCGACGGGCCGCAGGCCTGCACGGAGCGAACGCACGGCCAAGGCTCTTCACTCCCGCTTTTCGCACGTACACTGAAAAATTACAGCCACCTAGTGGCAGTCCCAAAGGCTCCTACACTTCTGCAGTAATGGCAGTGATAGGAGAACGAGATCACCTAGATCGCTGACAGAATGTGAACTTCCCCCTCCCCCTCTAAAAATATGCCCCTGTTACGGTTAAAAGGATACTCCAACGAAATTTGAAATATTCCCGTCGTGTTCAAAGATAGGTTGAATATGATCCACAATATCCGTAAATGACCATCGCACGTTTGTATTTTGAGCCTGGGTGGCTGTATTTTTCGTTATAAACGGCCCACTCTGGCAAGCGCTCGGAGAAGGCCCAGCGGACACCACGTGACATCCAACGCAATCATGACGTAGGTCGTCTCAGGACGAGCAAAGCTACGGCGAGGCTGACATCGAGAGGATGGCCTAGTCGTTCCAGCCACCGAAGCGGCTGGTTTTGTACGAATTTTGAGTGATGGGTTAATCTTCTGTAATCTTGTAGAGGGACAATAGCGACTTCTGCGACACACAAAAGACATTCTCGGGAACAGAGGAGTTCCTCCTGCCCCTCTTCTCTCGTCGTGGCCGGAGGCGAGACAACCTTCGTCACTAGCTGTCAAGGTTCCTAGACGGGCATTACAAGCGAGGCGCTAGCGACATCCACCAGGTGCCCTTTGCTAATCGTTTAATTCGTTTTAAAATTCCTTTTCGTGACTTTTTTAACAAGATATTGGTATGTTCAATGTGATGCTGCTCCGTTGAACACATATAGACCATAAAATAAGCGCCGAAATTTCGTTGTAGTATCCCTTTAAGGCTGCTACAGTAGAACCTTGTTGATACCATTCCCGGTTCATACGTTCATGAGTGAAGGCATGGGAAATGTCCCATAGAGTTGAGCTGTTGTTTTTCCGGTTAACACGATTCCCCGGAAAGTATGCTCAACATTCTGCCGAATGTTGATAGGATTATACGTTTCTTGGCAATCAACACTGCACTCGCATATTCGGTTTAGAATATGCGAGTGCAGTATATACATCTAAACTGCATATACATCCAGTTCAGATGAACCAGCGCTAATCAGCCGTCCTCAGGGGCATACAACTGACATAGCACGCGCATTTGGAGCCCGCTGATAACGCCGCTGCTGCGTCTATTGTTCTCCGCAACTTCCGAGAGCCGTCCGGGTGCACAAGGGCGTTTACAGAACACACAACACGGTTTTACTGTCTTAGCTCATTATTCGATTACTGTATTTACCTGAAAATAAGTCGACCCCTACTTGCTGAACCCACCGAGAATTTAAAAAAATAATTCAAATATAGGTCACCCTTTTCTTAAACAGAGGAAGTTTGGGCAAAAGAAAGAAACAAACATTTATTTACAGCACTCTCAGCTAAATCACAACGCAATGCCAAAAACTCAATCATTGTCAGACCTTCCGAAGATGTCATCGTCGTCGTCGGAAGCTTCGTCAGCTTGGTAGACATCCTCACAAATTCGCAACAATACCTCACTGACACCGTTGCAAAATGACAACAACAAACGAGAAAAAATGGAGACGGGCGAAGCAACGAAAGACCAAATACAAACCGCGAGCAACGTGCCAGCCGCCATGATCAACAAAAACAAAAATAACCTTTGTGTTTTTGTGCATGTTTGTGAGGGAGAAAGGGAAGGAGGGTAGAGGAGGGGCAAGGAGCACGGCACCATCGCGTTTCTCTCCCTCCCCTTCCCCCCTTGCATAGCGAGGGGAATGCGTGAACGGTGCTGGCAGCAGACAGTCGCAAAACCCGACGCCCGAGGGATGCGTGCGAGCGGCGGCCACGGCGGGCAGGCAGCTGGCTGCTGCTGTTCGGTTGTTTTCGTGCACCAAAATCTTTTTGAAACAAGAAGTGACGCGGCTCTACGTCGACGCCAACTCGGTAGCTCGATAACTCCATGCCCTCGGTAGGGTCGCAAAATTTGGTTCCGATTCATTCTCGGTAACTCCAGAAAGCACTTAAGACGCATTCTTCGGAAGGCTGAAAGCACCGATTGCAAGAGTGCGCAAGAGTAACTCTAGACTAGGACGTACAAGGGAGTAGTAGCGGTAGTAGTAAATGAATGAATCTGGCATTTCTTTCTTTCTTTCTTTGCGTTGGCTCAGCCCTGGTTACTTCATCAAGTTTTGCCAACGCTTCGGCAGCTTTGGCTTCGCGGTCCGTCCCAAGCCCATGCCATCCTATTTCACTATTTTTCCTGTGCCGTGTAATCTCGTTTCGTTCTGCGATAACGTCGTGAAAGCGACGCCATCGCAGAACGGTTTGTTTTTGAACCACTGCATTTTTTTTTTTGTGTGCGTGTGTGCTTTTTGTATGTTTTCCAGGATTGTACAGGTTCCAGGGTAATATTTTTTTTTCTTGGGGTTTCTTTAAAACGTATCAATGAGGTTTTACTGTATACGAGTCTTCAGAATCTGATCCAAAACCAACCTCCAGGCATTCGGTCCCCAGTTCGTCATCCACAAAGTGGTAGAGTATGCTCGTGATGTCATAACCCTCGACGATTGTACCAGTTTCTTTTGGGATACAGCCCGAACCATGAAATATCCCGCCATGACGGTGGATGCTCTGCGGTCCGCAAAGAAGGTGAACTCACGTGAGGCCAGCCTGTCCCTGCGCCCTATGGTTTAGCCTCTGGGTGAGCCGTGGATAGAAGAAGGAGCTGAAGACGTGGGTTCGCCTCTGCACCTCCTCGCACACCTTCTCCTGCATCAGGTATCTGCACAGGCAAGGGCACCTCATGTTCTCACACACTAAGCAGGCTGCAGAATCAGTGCCCGATTAGGGCATTTGGGGGCCCTGGGCTGAGGCTATTATGAGGCCTCTACCTATGATAATAGTGGTGGTGATGATGGTGGTGGTGGAGGTAACAATGACGACGGGAATATGTATATTTTTGAACTTGTTAAATCTAGATATGTTTCATCGTATGATTATTGTCGAGCCTTGTTTAGATCCGTAGATTCAATGGAATTCAAGTTTTCCTTTCTGGCATTGAGGTGGAAGCGATTGTTTAGAAGCTACTTTGCAAATAATCAACCGCTCTAGCAATTTACAATATAGTAATTTTGAGGTACCAAAATTAAATCGAATAAACATTGCGGAAAATATTAGGATTTGTCGTTCACATCCAGCAACTTAACCACAAAAAAAAACCAAAAAAAAAACAACACTAAATTGCTTTTGTTTAAAATGTTGACCCCGTTCATGAATTTGTTTGACTAGAATTACAGCTAGATTAATAGAGTACATGCCTGGGCCAGTTTATACAAATTGGTAACAATGTCGACTTGTAGCACAGGTGACCCTCTTGCTAACATGTCGAGTGACATCATTAATCACACATAAATTGAGTTATGCAGCAACCGAAAAGGTACCTGCAAAATTCCCGTTCTAATTTCGCTTCCCCTAAATGGCATGCCTCGCAAATCGACAACTGCCACGAAAATCTAGAGCCCTTATTCTCGTAATTGTTCCAAATTATTGGAAGTGTTTTAACCTCTAACTAGCCCTCTGTTAATTAATTACTGGTCTGAACAGTGAAGGAAGTGACATAGGCAAGGAAGAAATTTAGTTGGTTGAAGCAGTCGTTTTCGGGATCAGACTACTTCGTAAACGCTCCTCTAATAGCAGAACCATCGTTTCGCAAACAAACACAGACTTCCATATTTAAAGCGTGCGATTCTAAGACATCGACCGCTGTCGTTCGGGCACATTTGCGTTTAAAGAATTTATCACGAGAACATCAACAGATGTTTTCTTTTTGTATCTACACGCTGTCTTTTTGAATGGGGAAAATGTTTTGCATCAGATTTAGTACTAATCTTGTTCTTTTTAAATGCAGTAATTTAGACCTCAGTGGCCATTTTGTTCTGTGACTCAATGTTAAAAAATAAGAGGTTATACCTCAGAGGTTGGTGAAACCATTGCAGTATTCGTATCAGTCGCTGGAAGGAAGAGTGTTTAGTTGCACTGGCAGACCAGATATCGACTCTAGAGCACTTCCTTGCAGCCAGTACCCATCGAAAACTGTTGAGGGGCGTCTTAAGAGCTGGCTCCTTGAAACGTCTCTTCGTTGGTGGCTATAGAGACGGTGTCTGAATCGAAACTTATCGTTCTGGAATAAACTCCATATGGAGTTTCGCGAAAAGGTCTAGAACAACATGTGTGAACCATCTGCGTTGCTTGCTTAACTTCCTGCCCACAATTGTCTGTAAAACACGCTAAGGGGGCCCCAGTACAAAAGAAAGCTCCATAACCGTCCTTCCATCAAGCTCCAATTAAAAAAAAAAAAAAATCTAACAAGGCTCGCTCTTGTACAACGAGCACACAAACGCCAGCTGATCTAGAGACGAACTTTATGGCATCTTTGTTTCCTTGTTGAGGAAAAGAGAATGAGAAGGCCATTGCGCCAGAGGCCCTTCGGAGTGTTTCTTCTGCTTTCTGCCTAAACTTTCTTAAATATATATATATATATATAAAAAAAAAAAAAAAAAAAAAAAAAAAAAAAAAAACTAACATTTTTAAATTTTCAGAAGCCAGCATGGGGCCCCCTGACAGCCTGGGGCCCAGGGCTGCAGCCCCTTAGCACATACCTTAATTCGGCTTTGTACAGAATGACAATCAAAGTGAGTTAATGCAACTTTTCACAAATGGCGTAACCACCGAACCCAAAGAATCCCAGGATGAAGTGAAAATGCCTTATTGGTCAAATTTTGGTGCATTGTTAAAGGCCCGTTCACACTCTTGCGACCGAGTGCGACCGAGTACGACTGAGAGAGACTAGTTCTCTTAAAACTTGTTAAATGTTTTTAAAATGAGGGAACAAACTGGCATTGTGGCGCCATCTATGCGGTGACCCTGGAACTGCATTTCACAAGAGCGAAGGTTTTGTGGGGATTTCCGAGGTCAAATGTGCGTAATACCCATAGAAAGGCTCGTTTATAACATTGACAAAAGTTTTTCGAGCCAAGAAAGAAAGGATAATGCGCGAGAAATAAAAAAAAATATGCGGACCACCGAGTTTACACTGCTTCCCAATATATGGCGCCAGTGTGTTTTCTGGTTTAAGAAGTTGTAAGGAACCTAGGTTTAAGAGGTCGCAAGAGTGTGAACGGGCCTTAAGTAGTAAGTCATAATATTGTTATAACCCGACAGACAACCCCTCCCAATTTTCACAAAGACGGTCTTGTAAGGCAGAGGTTCTCAAACTGGGTTCCAGGGAACACAGGGGTTCCACGAGCTGGTCTCATGGGTTCCGCAAACACACAAATTGCAACCCCCCCCCTTCCCCCCCCCCCCCCCCCCCCCCCCCCCCCCCCCTCCCCCGCCGCAGGCTGCGCGGCAGGACCATGCAAAGCGCATTATCTCACTTTGTACTGACATCGCGACTGATATGGTGGGGATATATGGGAAGCAACACAAGCAAAACTGCCGACGATTGTCCATCGGTTGCTTCTCGGTCGGCAAATATAGAGAAAGGGGGGGGAGGTTCCGCGGCAGTTTTTGAGGCTTCCTGGGGTTCCGTGAGACCAAAAAATTTGAGAACCCCTGTAATGTAAGGTATTACTGTAACAGAAGGATGGGTCACTCAAGTTTGCAACAGCAGTTAAGAATCTGAGCAAATGGTGTAAGCCCCTATCACCTAATACGACAACTTTGTCGTCGCAAGAGCGTATGAATCATGTGGCACTTATGTCAGCCACACATTAGCTCGCAATAATCGCACTGCCACTTTCACAAGGTACCTAAAGGGAAATTTCTAGATTAATGTTTTCACACACCAGGCCGCAACGAGAAAGAAAATGCCCGCGATCGACAAGACAGCATCCCCAATGACAAATCCCCCCATGCAGGATTTCTCCCAAAAGCTTGGCACATTCTTCACCACAACAGAGCCGAAGATGCTTGACGAAGGATATATCGCATCATAATCTGTGACGAGCAAAATGGTTGGCAAATCAGCCGGAAACATAGGAATGTGGTCGGTGTCAACTGCCACCGATTCATGTGCTTTTAACCATGTTGCGGGGGTTCTCACACTGGGCTCCTCAAGATCTCAAATTTTTTTTTACTGTTTCTGCCTCTAAGTGTACAGTTGAACCTCGATTTAACGGAGTCGGTAAAATCCGCAATTTACATCGTTACATTGAAATTTCGTTGTATCGAAATTTTGTGCCTAGCACGTAAAAAATCAACGAGATGTGTTACAAGTGCAAACACTCACCAGAAGCAATCTTTATTTGCGATGAAAGTGGTCAGTGACCTTCGCCTGCAACTTCTGCGATATTAATAACGGCGTCACACGGCGTCACACGGCGTTCAAATGCCCACAGTGCATGCATCGCACCTTGTTGCTCATATGCACTGATGTACCGCCTCAGTACGTCAATCGCGTCGAGCACCTCACGGCTGCTCGGCACCTCGCAAGGGTCATCGGCGTCCGCCTCGTTGTCATCGCCTTCCGATTCGCCGAGCACGTCCTTCACGATGGAATCATCGGTAACTTCTTCCGCAGTGATGACGCACGAGTCCCCATAGAGAAAGTCCTCCAGAGCGACACCATCCGGAACAACTCCGTCACTACGATGGGACTGCCATGCTCCCGAAAGAGTCTCTTGGTCTTGCTTGTCTTCTTTAAGGAGAGCGTCTTAGCTTTCATCGCACTAACTTTCTCTGTGAATGGTAGAGGAGGACGAAGTCCCTCCGTTTGGTTCCTTGCTGTCCACTTCCTTGGGAGCACTGGCTGCGCGTGTTTCGAATCCAGCTTTCCTGAAGCAGTTCTTGATGACCTCCTTTGCTGTGACCTTCCACGAAGCAGAGAGCATCTCGAGGGCTTGAAAGATGTCCACTTTTGTTTGGTGCTTCAAGCGAAGATCGAGCAGAAGCTTGTCAATCAGCCGCTGCCGACACGAGCACTTGATACTGTTTATGATGCCCTGGTCGAGCGGCTGGATCAGCGACGTGCAGTTAGGCGGGAGGAACTTCAGCTCCATGTTGGTCAGTTCCAGGTCCTCAATATGGTGGGCGGAACAGTTGTCGAGCACCAGGCACACACTGCGGCATCGTTCCTCATTTCCTCAACGAACTTCTGGAGCCAACCGCAGATGTTGTGGGTCATCCATGCCTTCGAGTTCAAAGTGTACTCAATCCCAAGCTCTCGAGCACCTCTGAAACATCGCAGCTTCTTGCTCTTCCCAATAATAAACGGCAACCGCTTGTCACTGGCAGAACTGTGGTCCGCAGCCCGCTCTGTTTTCCCCTGTGGCAACGATCTCCTTTGAGAGCCAGCATCCGGTTCGGGAGCATTTGGTAGAAGAATCCAGTTTCATCTGCGTTGTAGATGTCTGCCGGCTGATAGCACGTCAGGATTCTGGGCATCTCTTTCTCGAGCCAAGCAACAGCTTCAGGCTGACGCCGACTCGCCACTCACCATCTTCCCGACGATCTCTTGCCGAGCTTTGACCTGGTGGAGCCATCCACTGCTGGCTTTCAAGTCATTGCGGTACAACAGGCATCCAAAGTCCTTCGCCTTCTGCTTTACGACAGCACCACTCAATAGAGCGTCTCGTGCCCGGGTATCCATAAACCAGGAGAAAACTGCCTTGCTGACGTCTGGGTAGATGGCGGAATTCAGCAGTTTTTGCTGGGCACTTCTGCCATTCTTCAGAGCACCAAGGATACTCTATTTCGCTTTTAAAATCGTTGAAAGCGAGCTCTGCGGTATCTCAAATCAGGCCGCGACATCCTTATTTTTGCCGTTCGAAATGGCTTGCAGGATTTTTAACTTCTCTTCAAGTGAAAGCATTTTGCATATACCGCCGCTCATGGTGGCAAAGCACGTGAGGGTGAACAAAGTATGTACAGTTAGACGAGCGAAGCGAAGCAAAGCAAAGCAACGAAACGAGGCTTAAAGAGAGACTGGAGTGCCCAGGCCTGCACGGAATGCACGCACATGCGCTAAACACACGCACACCCGCACGTTACACTCAACACCACGCATCATGCACACCGCACTCTGCAGAGAGCACCTCACGGGCATTCTTTGAGATGGCACTTTCTGCGACTTCGCCTCCCGGTGCTGTTAGCATCACACTCAGAAGCCCGTCCGCGTGAAGTAACATCTTCAATCGCTCGCGGTCGCGGTAAATTCTTTTTTATATTCTTCACTCCTTTTACGAAATATTCCTTTAGGGCCTTCTTTTTTGGTATTTTACGGCGATGGCACTTTGTTATATTGAAATAGCCGCAAAAATGACTTCATTATACGAGGCCGAAAATACATGGTGTTCTATGCCCAAAAAGACCTTGTTAAATCGGGAATTTGAGGTTCAACTGTAGTGTCCCTCCAATTTCAGCACCGTTTTAGCAGATCTGAGCTACTTATCGATGTATAACTCTGCACAAAACGCTCCCCAGCATGCACATTGTTTAAAAGGTCTATCGGCTTCTGCATTGCTTTACTGGATCAACGCCGAGACTGGGAAAGGTTTGTCGGTAATGAATCAGGAAAGATGGGGGCTCCTCGAGATCAAAAAGTTTCTGAACTCCTGCCCTAGAGTACAGTGGTGAATTCAGGGGGGGGGGGTCCAAATGTCCTGACCCTGACCCCCTCACCCCCTTCGACATCCATATGCGTAAACTTTTAGGGTGGGGAAAAGGGATGGGGGAGGGCGTTTTTTCAAACTTCTGATACGCTGACCTCCCTCCCTCTGGGAACATGTTCATCCGCAACTGCTAGTGTAGCCCTTTAGCACTGACGGTGCCATGCACGTGCCCCAAAACGGGTGACCCGAGGGTGCCGGGGGGAAGCTCACTTGAGGTAGAAGTCAATGATGACGTCGTTGAGGAACTGGGCCTCGCCGAGGCACCGAAGATCTGCCCTGTGCACGGCGATTCCCCCCGTCTTGGGCGGAGGAGGGTACACCAACAGCCTGAAAGCAGGACGGAATGCGACGAATGTCAGGTCCCGACGGCTGGCGAGCACGGGCCATGCACAGCCGACCCCTCGACTGGCTCGGCTTGCTGAGGGGTGGCGGCGTTGCAAAAGACTACACATGCTCCAAGGGCGGCACCATACCTTGAGAGCTGGGTACTTTTCGAATAGTAGCTTTCCCTAGAGTCACTACCAGTTTCATGAAAAGTATATTTTAGTGGTGCATTTTATCTTTGAAAATTTCATGGCATAGCTCCCTTTTTGCTAGCAGACGATCGCATTGTCTGATTTCGACCTAGTGCATTGCTTGTTTGCTGCGCCTACTATATTCAAATATGGTGACTAAACTCGGACAAAACAAAGCACACTCGCCGTATTGTCATACTTTTTGTCACAAACTTTTGCGGCACTTTAAGTTCGGAAGACAGCCCTAAAACGCGCTCAGCGTTAAAGTGTGATCAACATATTACCATGCTTTGCATTCTCTAAGACTACAAAAATAGAGGGATTGAGGGGGGAAGGGGGTAAAACACCTCTCACAAAAAGCATCGGACAGACAAAGTTCTGAAGTTGCTTACTTGATGTTTGGCCCTGATGGGACTTCTACTGCGGAGGTAGCCTAGTAATGACAAGGGAAGAAAAAAGTGCAAGAATTAATCGCAGCAAAACCCCAAAAAAATTGAAGAGCAAATTTCCAACCCTTGAATTCCAGCCCAAGTTCATATTTATTACTGCAACCTAACATTTTTAATACATACTTTCATAGCTTCGTGTTTTGGCCACCATGCGCCACGAAAATTAGGTCTTTACGGCGGGACCGCCGAATGTACGCTGCACAACTTTGTGCTCCAGCACACAGCCGCGTTTCCTGTTTGCTCATATTGAACAATAACTGCACACAGAAGCACGGTGGACCGAAGAACTGAAGGGAGCGCACTACCTCCGAGAGAAAATTTCAGGACTGCCACATCAACCTTAAAGGGGCCCTGCAATCATATTTAAGCGTCTACCTTTTTTGTGGTTTTCACGTCTCTTGAAGTTTGGGCAAGCCAGCGGGCATGGAGAGAGTAACTAAATATCAGTGCGTCTTATTTTTTTAACCGTACGATGTGGAAACCTCCTCCACCAACGAGGGCGACCCGCGGTACTGAAAGCGCGCAAAATGTGATGCCTTTGGTCCAGGGCTTACTACTGGTCAGAGCCGCTAAAAGCTTCTTTTTAGTCGAAATACAAAATATAAGTGGCGCGAACCGTTTCAATTATTTATAAAAGTAGTTTTTGTTCGGTAGTTTAGATCAGAAAAGAAACGAATGCAGTTTATAAAGTACAGAAACAAGAAATGACGCGTCGACAAACCCGCCACCAAGTGGTGCAAAAGGCAGCGCATACAGAAGGGAGTAGTGGGATCAGGCACCGACACAAAAAGGTCCCGGATGTACGAGTCGGCGCTGCGGCCGTATCGACAGGAGGATCCGACCGGCTCCGAGCGTTCCGAAGGCCTTCGGTACCTTCGGCGAGAAGCTTTGTCTCGCGGTTTCGCCGTTTCGCGGTATGGCAGCGCGAACTGATCTATACCCCGTGTTTGCTGTCGTTTGTGGCCAATGAAGTGTCGTGCCGAATTAGTGTTTAATCGCGCAGCAAATGCAATAAGAGCCGCTCTGGCCGCCCGCTGCATACAGCCTATCCATAACATGCTTTAGTGGTGCCCCCTCGCGCCGTCGACACGGAGTGCGGCAGCCGCAAGCGCTCGCGATGAGCCCACTACCCCTCCTCTAGTTCACGGCCACTCAAGCAACCAAGGACGTCATGAGGGAGGTTATTTTTTGCTTGTTTTTTGTAATTTTATTTTGCCTATAAATTTTAAAATAAAGCAAATTTCGAGAAAATAAAAGTTTCACTAAGTTACTACAGCAAAACCTCGTTATAACAAAACGAGATATAACAAACTAATGGATATAACAAAGCAATCATAATTCCCCTTGCTTGCTAATAGTGGGAAGAAATGGACATTGGCTATAACAAACTACATGGTTATAACGAAATAATTACGACCGCTCCTTCAACTTTGTTATAACGAGGTTTTACTGTACATTCAGTGCGCTCAGGTTCGGTGCAAGTTAAAAACCAGTAAAAAAGTTCTTGCAGGGCCCCTTTAATAAGCACAGCAAGGTAGAAGAAAATATGTAGCGAACGAATTTGTACCAAATACTTGGCGAAGCTATCACTTGTCAATGGTAGCAGGAAATCGTTTTGCAAGCTGGATGTGTGGTATGCATACCTGCCAACCTGTGGACTTTACGGTTACGCGAAGCGATGTGCAGCTTAATGTCAGCCTGGCCAGCGTGCGAAACGCTTACATCATACGTGCACGTGCTGCAGAATCCAAACTTCTCTCGCTTTTTAGGCGGCACGAAGCACGGAAATTTTGACATGTAGGACTTCAGGAACACCTGAAAGTACCTCTTTTGATGTTTGGAGTTTGGCATTGCGTCGCAAAGCCACAGTGACCAGGAGAATGCTACAGGTACACGTGCAACAAGCACAGATGCCGTACTTCTCGCCTCGAAACTGGCCGAAACAACGAGGCCCAACAACTTCTGAACACGCCGAACCAACGTGCACCCGTGCACCGCCGAACACACTAACAGAGGCTTTGAGCTTTGGATTGGTTTTCGATCCGTGGCCACCGGATAGTAAAAACCACGACGCTGCTGTGGATGGTACCTATCGTCCTCTTGTGGCGGTGCAAGATACCGCCAACAACAAAGTTACAAAAACACAAAAAAAAAAAAAAATAATAATAATAAGATAAAATAATTAAAAAAAAAATTAAAAAATATATTTTTCGTAAGATTTGAAGCAAGATTCGTAAAATCGTAAAATTAGTCCCAATTCGTACATTTTACAAAAATTCGGAAGAGTTGGCAGGTATGGGTATGGATCGTGGTTATATACGCTGTTGACCATTTGACCGCAGCGCCCTCTCGTCTATAAACGTTGAGCCAATGCATGCAAAGTTTAACGCGATTATATACGCATTTGACTGCATAGCCCTCTCCTGAATAGATGTTGAGCGGCTACATGCAACGTTTCACCCCTAACATCCCCACCTCTTGAGTTACTACATACCACACCTCAAAGCCAACTCTACTCGTACCGCAGTCATGGCCGAGTGGTTAAGGCGATGGACTAGAAATCCATAGGGGTCTCCCCGCACAAATTCGAATCCTATCGACTGCGCAAACATTTCTCTTTTTTTAAGAAGACAGATGGGATGGCAATCGATGTGAGCACGGACGCCAGACAGACGGACAAGGAGAAACTCTAAAAGCTTCGCCCCTAAAAGTGGATATGCGTAAAAGTGTGCGTTTTTACTCGCAACAGCTACTGCTGTCGATTCTTTGCACACTGTGGGGAAAAGTTGCCGATTGTTTGAGGTGGCTACGAGGCTGCGTTAGTGCGATCGAGCAAACAAAGAGCGGATATTTTTATAAAAGTGCACGTCATTATGCGCATTAACAGCTACCGTGGCGAAAAGCTACGGATTTTCATGGAGGACTAAGTCACCGATTGATGCCTCCAGAGTCTCGCACGTAATGGTGGATCCCTGCTGTAAAAGAAGAGCGCGGCCCCACCTGCTGGCAGTTGGCACCGGCGTTGGAGGAGGTCCGGGTGGCCCGTGAGCCCGCGGAGGTCGTGGGGATGTTGTGGACCACCACGTGCGTCACCCCTGAGGAAGAGCCGGACTGGGGCAGCAGCACAGATGTCCCGGGACTTGCTGCAGCTTCGTTCGATGACCCCACGCCTTTCTGCGCATTGCAACACGTCGTGGAATGCCGACGTTACTTCAAAGTGTCATGGACGCAGAGTTGATGTAATAATCTAGGGCAGGGGTTCTCAAACTAAATTCTGCGAGCACCCAAATTGCAGTGCTCCCTCCCTCCTCCCCAGTTTAACCTTCCACGGACCCAGCCATGGACGAGATGGTGTTGCGGGCAAAGCAACCTCACCCTTCGCACTAATATGTATATATATATTTTACATTGTGCGCCAGGTTAATCTACCTTCTTATTCTCTATAGTCGTCCCCTTTTGTCTTACTCTGTCAGGTTCACCATCCAAACGCCTTTATTGCCCGGTATTATTCATTTTGAGGCTTGCAGCGGTTCCCTGGGACGAAAAGGTTTGGGAACCCCCTGATCTAAGTGGAAAAGTCTTGCACGTTTCGGCCACTTCGGAACGGCAGGGCATAGACGCGGACACCGATTGTCCAGGTGGGACCATGTTGCTAACTACGCTTCGATATACACAAAGCAGAAAAATGTCACTTGCAAGGTCTGTACCTAGTGTCTCTATGGCTTTATTTTGTACAAAAACACCAATGTCATGCACTGTATAAAAAAAACATTTACCAGCCTTGTGTTAATTTATTGTACAGTCACAACGATAGCTGTGAAACATTACGGGGAAGTCGTTGGGCATCGGCGTTGCGATCATGCGCTGTGGGGTGTGAACAAAAGCGTTCGGGACAAAATAGACATCTGACCACTTTGTTCAGAACACTTTTGTTACTTTTTAGTTTTGGTGCACATGAAAGCACGTCTCCTGGCACCAGCTCCTGGGATTGACGGTACCTCGACATCATTTTGTTATCAACTACAGTCAAGCCCGGTTATATCACGCTCGGGGTATTTCTAATTTTTGTTTAAGGGGACACACCCCCTACGAGGGTCAATTTTTGAACCCTTGGCTTAAAATTAATGCAATTTACAGGGTAGCCTCGTGGTCATGCTAGAAGGTGTATAACAAAATTTCAGGTCTGTCGGTTAAGTGGGAAGGAAATTAGGGCAGTTTTTATCAGAAACACGCCTAGTCGGAAAACTATCTATTCGCTAGATATGTAGCAGAATGCCTAGGAGGTGCGGCTATGGAAAGCTTTTTGTAAAAAGTCATTTATTTCTATCAATTTTCTCTTCTGTGTCTCCGACAAAATGTCAACACTTTTTGATAAAGACATACGTAAAGTGACAAAAAAATTCCATAGCCGCATTCCTTATTAAATTTCAGTCAGGAAAAGTGAAGAACGAGCCTTCCCTGTATTGCCCTTATGAAACGATAGACTGACTAAAATGGAATTTGTAGCAAAAAGTGGAATAAAGAAAAATGTGTTCAAAGTGCCCCAAACCCTACCTTTTCTTTAGCATTGGTGGACAGAAAATACTTTATAAAATATTAGCTACGCAGTGTAAACTAGCAAAAATTTCTGGGAATACTCTCTAAAAAAAAAGTCAAATTTGGGGGGGTTTAACATGCCAAACCAATGGCGGGCATCTGGCACGCCCCAGCGAAGGAATGAGGATTATTTTCGACCACCTGGGGATCTTTTGACGTGCAACTGAAAGCTCGGTTACACGGCGCCTTCTCCGCACTAAGCCTCCGTCAGATTGCGGGCACTTCGGCCGGGATTCAAACCCGCCACATGGGGATCCGTAGGCCAGCACTCTCGCCTTGAAGCCACCGAGGTGGCTGGGAATACTCTCTAGATTTTAGTGGATAGAAATACCTATGTAATTTTTCAAAATCAACGTTTTTTACTGAATTTTTTTTTCTTTTTTCTGGGTAGTGTCTTTTCTTACATCACAGTCCAAACATCCCCTCGAAAATCAGATGTAATAGTTAGGAGCGTTGTCCTTTTGTATCCAACTTCCATGGTGGGGGCACTGCATATAGCAAACGAAGCCCAGTCGCCCCTTGCTTTTTCGTGATCCGACTGCGCCAGTGGCGGGCGAGCTGCGTTGCTTGGCTGGCAGACTTCCAAGCCAGCATACATGCAGGGAAGATACGAAGATACACAGCGAAAAAACAGTTCTGTTGGGGGAAAAAAAAAAACAAAAAACAAAAACAGCACATCACTGTAAAAAAGAAAAGAAAAAAAAAAAGAAGATGGCAAAAGCAAGGGGAAGGGCATGGGCGTGCGCACGCAGGGAGAGCAAGGAGTGCCCGCTGTCGGAATGTAACGGTAGCCTGCGCCCTTCCCCCAAACACTGTTGATGCTGTACGACTCCCTCCCTGGCCCCAAAATAAAATACCTAAGCGAAAAAGAAAGTCTTCGGCAAGTCGAGTGTGCCGACGGTTGCGCAACCGCACTTTGAACGCTTTATCTTTGTTTACCTTTTTCTTTTGCCGTTATTGCTTTGGCCTTTTTTACAGCGGAGAGCTGTTAAGGGCTAGTTTCCCAAGGATCGTGTCCGGTACCAAACAAATATCGACACCCATGGTCGACACAACACTCTGGTTGCTGCCGTCGCTCATAGATGGCGGCAACGCTTTTTTGGAGGAAGAAGAGCGGGAATGGAACGAGCGGCGATGTGCGCAGCAGCGCCAATGGTTCTGCAATCGCCGCAAGGCCGCTATCACCTAAAGTTCCACTGCGTCGAGCGATTCCGATTTTCTTGCGAAAGAAGAGCAGATCGCTCGCCTGGAAAGCCACTGCCGAGAAGAGAAGCTACAGCTCCACTGCTCTTCCTTCTTCACAAGAAGGAAAGGCTGAAAGTTTTTTTTTTCTGCCTTTTGTTTTTTGTCAGAATTTAGTGAGCTTCCTTGTTTGTTGCTTGCCTAACTTTTTCCTATGGTTCAAGAGATTTTTTTTATGCATTTTACTTTTCCGTCTTGCTTTCATTTTTATAGAAATTATTTTTGCGTTTTGTCGCCATGCTGTGTGGAGATCCCAACCAGGTGCGCGAGTAAGCGTGGCGGTGTTTGCAGTCTCCGCCAACTACGCTCTACTGCATTTAGCATCTCTTGGATGCTCTATTTGGTAAGCTCCCGTTTGTCGCGACCTGCGGTATTAGCAGAGACGCCAAGAAATTTCAACTCAAGCTTAACTTATTTTATTTATCAAATTATTCATATATCAGACTATTTACGATCCCCTTTGAATTCAATATATCCGGGTTCGACTGTATTTTTGTCTTTTCAGAGAGTGCATGCAGTGGACATCAAATACTACAAAGAACACTCTTGTTTCTTTTTCCAGGGCACATAAAAGCATGTTTTCCGGCACGAGCTCTTGGCATTGACAGTGCTACAGTGGCAATTTGTTATAGACTATTTCTTCACTATTTTTCAGACAGCACATTCAGTGGGCATTGCATTCTACACAAGCTCTATGTATAAGACGGCTTGTTAACACTGTGGCGTAGTTCCGTGGTAACACCTCTGCTTCGCACGCAGCAGACCCAAGTTTAATTCCCACGGGTGGCAAGCAATCTTTTTCAAGGATTTGGTAACATACACGGCGGACACCTTACTATGTCAAATACAACATAAGCAACAGACGTCATTTTCTCTGGTGGGAAAAGCGTATAACAGCTATCATTGTATAGAAAAGTTAAGCAGCATTCGAGCAACTTACCGCAATATACCAAGCAAGTGCACATCTAAAATTAGAAGGTAATTGCAAAAAAAAAACAAAAAAACTTTCAGCCTTTCCATTTTGGTGAAGAAGGAAGATCAGCAAAGCTCTACCATGGTGAACCGACCTCAAGGACAATTTCTTGGACGACCTCAAGGACGACGACTAGAGTAGGACGTCTAGGACGACCTCAAGGACGATGTCTAGGACGACCTCAGGGACGACATCTAAAACAACCTCAAGGACGACTTCAAGGACGATTTCAAGGACGATTACTAAAACGACCTTAAGGATGACTTCTAAGACGACATCTAGGACGACTTCTAGGATGACCTTGAGGACGACATCTTAGATGACGCCTAGAAAAATTAAGCCTTTCCACTCTAGTGAAAACCAGAGTGGAAAGGCTGGAAAGGTTACTGCCATCTATGAGCGAGGCCGGCAAGCCGGTTGTCGCCATCGCTCATAGATGGTGGTAGCTGTCCATAGCGCAAGACATTAAGATGTCAAATTGCAGAGCCACCAAAGCAAAAGCCTCACCTGTGGGGATGGCCTCAAGGATGAGCAGTAGGGTGAGGGTGTCTGAAAGACATCAAAAGTGATTCAATTAGTTAGAATAATTCTGAAGCACTTTTTGGAGCAGTCAAAAGTCCATTCTGGAGCAGACAGAAAAACCCTTGGAGATTATACAAAAGGATGACAATAGCCATAGTTTTGTACAAAATGCTCCACTAGAGCAAATAAAGTTATAATGTATGCTAGAGGTTGAACTGGCGCCAGTGCCTATGCGACTTCCGAAATGCAGATTGAAGCAGACAGCAACCAGTCTACTTTTTGCGCTGCTCCTGTGCATTCCTATGGGAAAATGCACATGCATTTTGTCTCTTTGCCAGAGAATGATAGGAATCACCTTTGTTACTTGGGTCGTAGTAAATACTAGGTAGCTCTGTTAACATTGCAAAAGTGTAATTGCTTTGGTTACAGTATTTTTCTTCACGAGTGAACAATGTTAAACTTTGCTATATTTAAGGCCCAGACCTGTTTCGTAGCAGGTCTGTAAAAACGAGCAATGATTCTAAACAAAATAGCAACCAAAAGGAATGTAGAGTCTGTTCAAGGTTCGCCAGCATTTCGGCGGCGCTTATATATTGGTGATGTGCCCATCCTGTCACTATAAGAAAATGACCCCGTCTTGCATCTTTTCGAGCAGTTAAAAACACTCAAAACGTAAAGTATAAGGTATGTGGGTTATGAAACGTGTTTCTTGTCATTAGTTCTTATGCCGGGCAGCTTTAATTGTGCACTTGTTCTCTGGCGTCTCCCTATTATTAAAAATTTAGTGCATTTGGGCGATGTTTTGAACGCAGAACAAGCATCTTCGCACATATTCATGAGCAGAAAGAATAAAGCGGTACTTATTTATTCCAAATTCAAACTATATTACGTGGCCTTCAATTTATTTTGATTGTCTACATGCACAGAGAGTTACTGATCCATTGTTACAGCGTAGTTCTTTTCCAGACATCCTTCGTTCGTTTCGCACGTATATCCCCCATACTGGAAAGCGCCGACATTGTGTTCGCACTAACAGTGTCCAACAGTGCTCATAAATGCACGTATGAAGCTGTTTTAGCAACGTGTTTAATGCCATGAATGTGAAAGAAAAACGCCGTAGCTGATCAATTATTTTGGCTGCGTGACCAAGTATGGACAAATTATTTGCGATATTTTCTCTTATTATTAAGCGCAGGGAGAAAATGCACTCCCTTTTTCCCATAGAAATGCATTACCAGAAGTAAATTTTCGACTGGTTGCTGTCAGCTTGAATTTCAGACAGCACACTAGCGCCAGTTGAACTTCTAGCATACATCATAACAACACTATGACTGGAGCAATCAATTTTGAAATACATGCTGATCAATGAAGGACACAGCAAAAGCTTGTGATAGTGGTCATTTAAAGGGGCTGTGCAAAAATTTTGGGACATCGGTCAAATAATTGTGGGAGCTGTTCCCTCTCACGTCTGGGGTAAGAACCTGAAAACCAACTTTGCTTAAAGGGCAACTCCGCTTGATTTCGGAAATTTTGAGATAGTGGGTGATATAAACGTGAAAAATACTTCAAAACAACCCTAGACCGTTTGTCTCATTAAAAGCAAAATATTTTTTGTGCGATCTTGTTATTTACCACAATCGCAAACCGAAACTCAAACTTCGGCGCAGCCGGGCAACATTGTACTCACAACGTCAGTTGCATACGCACCCACGTGGAATAAAAGGGGTCACGTGATCTACTAGCGGTAACCCAAGAAAGACGCGGATGCGAGGGGAAGGGCGAGGACAGAGGAGGGAGGGCGGGCCTAGCCGCGGCGGCGAACAGGCAACGCAAGCAGCAACGAAGCAGGCTATGTAGGCGGCAACCCAGGCGGCTAGCACCGGTTGGCAGGTGTGTCATAAATTCATCCCGTACAACTCTCTCTTCCTCTTTTTGTTTCTCTTGTTCTCGTTCATTTTTTTTTTGTCTGTCTCGCCCACTGATTTTTATTGTAGTAGGCTCGCCTCTTTGCTTGCTCAAACGTGGAGCGCGTCCGTAGCGCCGCCCGGTAAGCTCTCCCTGGAAAAGAAAATACAAAAAAAAAAAAAAAAAAAAAACTGCGTATGCAACAGACGTCAGCCACAACGGAAATACAACGTTGGCTGCGCCGCACGTCGCCCGCTAAATTAGCGGATTTTGGTGACTGCGTCTCAGTTTTTGTCGGCCGGTTTAGTGATCTTTTAGGCGGTATTACGTTATAATATTTGACATTCGGTCTCTCTAGATGACACTAAAGAGAGTCGCAGTGTTTGGTAACAACCGAGAATGGAGCGGAGTTTCCCTTTAAGTGCGTTAGTTTCTTTTTTAGACTGTCAAACAGCTGAAGTTTTGGACGCCTCCGAACCGCATTCATCTCTTACACAGTCTTCCGGCGCAGTGACATGTAGCCAGGTGCACTGGGGACACAGTTTCCGGTTGGTTTCTCTTTCAGAGCCTCCAGAGCGTGCTGCCTCTGCTTGCGATTGTCGATGCACATGGTGTCTTAAAGGGAAACTCGCCCGCGTCTAGCGTCGACGCGAGCAACAGCGTCAATTGAACCAGCACCGTTGAGCCAATGCCCCGATGATGATCGAGCTAGGGAATCGAAACGCAAGCGCTACACGTATCACCGCGGCGCCAAGCCATCAGAACGCTTCCCCAGCGCGACCTCGTGGTTCTGGAAGGAGTTCATCGAGAAACCCTTCGGCGCCACGTGTGTGGCCGCCTCTGGTTCGAGCCAAATTCAACACAGCGAATCCCCATTATAGCTAAAACCCAACATAGCAAATCCCACCAAAGTGCCACCTTCGCTGGACTTCCCTTTTCGCGAGGTGGAAGGGCTTTCAATTTTTAGTTTCTACTCTGTATTCTGGCGTTTGTGCTTCTGCTTTGTACATTTCGTAGACCAACCAACTTGACACAGTGTGCCATGGTTGAGAAGAAATAGCATGCGGGCAAAGAGCTCATCTTGAAGAAACTATGAAACAAGCATATCTCCAAAGTGGCAATGGTCAGAAGGAGCTGAACAGCGACAATGAGTACAGTCAAAACCTATACATCCCGGTTCTCGTCCCCTTTTCATTACTGCTATGCCCTCGTGTACTGTAACCTTATGTTTGTGTTATAACAGTAATATCTTTCTTTGTTCTTTTACTTCTAGGGGCTTTAAAACCTGCCCCTGCATTACAGTCGTGGTCATGTCATGTACGTGCAAATACGGTAGTCCTTTATATCCAAACATACGTTATAACAATATCAGTAATGAACAAAGTTGGCTCAATGGCATAGATAGGAAGACCAACCAAGCTTTACGAATCAATATGTTATAACTGAATGTCTGCCGTAACTTAATCTGTTGCAACAAGGTCATTCTACACCAGGATCGCGACGTTTGACGGCGCGACACGTTGGCTCCCGCGACACAATGTTTTGCCACTTTGGGACTGATGCTGATGCACGCTCAGGATAGAACAATAAACACGCCAGTCCCAGACGCACTCCAGGTACTGTACCTATGATAAGGTTGCTCCATACAGAAGAAACACGACGAGAGCGCAACGGTGCATAGTTACCGGAGGCACGGGAGAGGACTTGATGAGAATTTCGTTTGCCGCCGTCTGGTCGATCTCGTCCAGCAGGTTGGCTGGAAAGACCGTCCGCAGGAAGTATTTCTGGTCGTCCGTCAGCGCCGGGTCCGGCAGGAACGTTATTCTTTTGTGCCGCTCATCTGCACCGGACGTCCACGTTGCAATGTCAGTTTTTCTCTCTGCCCCACTTCTGAAGCCGCGTTCCCAGGAACCCCTCCCTTCGGCACAAAAATTCCGCCGATGGTACTGGCCACGTATGAAGGGACTACCCAGTTTAAGCAATACCTTAGGATTTTGGAGCCGTGTCCCGACACACATGACCATAAGTCGGAAGCTCTCTTGTGCACGCACGAGCACACACGAGGGAGCGAAAACTGGTTCACGCATTTATGTTTGATCGTGACCGAATGCGGGGAGGCACGTGCAGGAAAAGTAAACTGTGAAGTATCCAACAATCGGGCGCATGTTTAAAAAAAAGAAAAAAATTTCTGCAAAGCACACTGATTTTGAAAAATGTAATATTTACATCCACTAACATCTAGAAAGTATTCCCAGGAAGTTTCATTAGTTTACACTGACAGTTAATTTTATATATAAATTATTTTCAGTCCACTGATGTTAAAGAAAAGGTAAAGTTTGGAGCACTTTGAACGCATTTTTCTCTGTTCCACTTTTTGGCATAAATTTCACTTTAGAAAAACTATTGTTTGTTGATGGGACAAAAGGAAAGACCCACTCACTGTTTTTTTTAACTGGAATTTTATGGACAATGCAATATTGTTTTTTTTTATTTTGTGGATGTCACTGCAATGTTATCATAAAATAAAATTGCAGTGGACTCCTCTCAAACGGAACTCGAAGGGACAGAAAAATTTGTTCCGTTTATCAGAAGTTTCATTAAAGCAAAGCACATAAAATGAGTGAAATATGACTTTATTTCACAAGCATGATGTCCAGCTAATGTAGCTGACTAGAAAAAAGAGGTAATGGTAGTTTGTTTTGCATTTTGTAATCGCTTTTTGACGAAGTAGGTGTGCATGCCTTGGAGGTACAAAGGTTTCTGTTGACTGCTGCACCTTCCCCAGAAATAGTCTTAAAGACTAGGCCGTGGCGCTTTTTAAAACGGCTGAGCCAACCGTCGCTCATTTTGAAGTTATCTATTCCCAACTGAGACGCAATCTCTCCAGCCTTTTCTTCGAGGATGGGGCCGCTGATCGGGAAATTAGCACTTCGCGCGCGCTTAAACCAGAGAAAAAGGACGTTCTCTATTTCCTCAAAAGGCGTCTTTCGCATCCTCCTTCGGTCGGTGGCAAACTTCCGCGCTTTACAGCGTCTTGAATCTTTTCTTTGTCCTTTGATATCCTTGAGAGTGTAGACTTCGGGATATCGAACTTCCTTGCGATCTCCGTCTTCGAGAGGTCACCACGATCCAGCTGTTGAAGGATCTTCATTTTCGTAGCAAGCGAGATCGCTTGGTGCGGCCGCTTTTTTACCGCTTCCATCACAACACGGCAAGCGGACGCTGGTTTGTGTACTCGATGGTAAACGTGACGCGCAACAGACGAGGCGCTAACCCTAATGGCGGTAGAAAGACTGGATTGGATTGCCTTAATATAATGGCTTGGATGGATGGATGAATGGCTGTACCGTACCCTTTGTAACGAGCGGCACCTCGCGTCACCTAGCCTAACAACTTTTTTTTTTTTTTTATAATAATATTGGTATAAATTTTGTTCTAACACAACCCCTTTCCCTTTAAAGTGTCCTCAGTCTTGGCTATTGCGTACTCCATGGTTGTGAGACTGCTGTAGCTATTTCCGATGTCCGCGGTCGCCATGGGTAGTTTCGGTTTCGGTCCCGTTTAACCGAAGTAAGCAAAAAGGGGGGTTCCGATTACCCGAAGAATTTATCATTAAATACATAGGAAACCAACTGAAACAACCTTTAGAGTTCCGTTTATCCGAATTTTCCGTTTAAGCGAGTTTCGTTTAATGGGAGTCCACTGTACTTTTAGGAAATTTTGTTTCCACAATTGCACTCTCCAGGCATTCTGCTGCAGATCTAGTGAAGAAAAACATTAAGTATTACATTGGTTTTCTCAGAATAGCTTTCCTAAACAAAGTCAGTAAGTTCCTGATAAAAACGACTACAATTTCTCTAACAACTCATGTATATAGATGAAACTTTGCACTGCATTCTGCCTCACAACTGCCAGTATACATTGTAACTTTCATTCATATTAAGCCAAAGGTTCAAAAGCTGACCTTCTTGGGTAGAGTCCCCCCTTAAGGCGGAGAAAATCGTCCAAGGGGGAACTTGCCTGTGCCGTTGGGGTCGAAGTAGCAAGGCAGGTTGCGGGACATGCCCAGCTTCTCCCGCAGGGAGCGCCCGCACTCGAGGGTGGTAGTCACGTACAGCACGGGCATGTTGCGGGACAGGTGACCCAGCACCTTGGTCACGTCCGTCACGCCCAGGCTCAGGCTAACCTCCTTGCCCTCTGCGGCGGGACGGCAATGACATGCACCGCATGAAAAGCCGGCAGCCATAGTCTCATCTGTCAACCGTCACTGGTATAATTGCAATGTACGAGAAACGATGGGTTTGTATGGTATTTTGATCCGAGGCACAGTAATTGCAGTTTGTGCATCGCTTAGAAACAGCTTCAATATTGGTCCTAAAACAGCTCCATCACTGGCCCTATCTCACGAGTCACACATGCCGTTACCAAAGGTAGCGGTTGGAGAGAAAGGAGTAACTCCCCTCTTACCGTCTTTTGCAAGTCCCAGATGTCAGTTATGTCCCCTTTCGAGATTAGTCAGTCACTCAAAACCTGTACAAAAGCGGCCTCCCTCTCCTTCCGACCCTTGGCTTCCATAACGCACCCAACTACGGTGTAACCTTGTTGCAACAGATCTGGTTACAACATACATTCGGTTATGGCATACCGATTCATGAAGTTTCGTTGGTCTTCCTATTTATGCCAATGAGCCAACTTCGCCTATTCAGGCTCGTTCACACTCTTGCAACCGAGTACGACCAAGAGAGACAAGACCGGTTTTTAATCCTCTTGCGACTTCTTAGGACCGGGCACGCTGCTGCGGAGCTGGTCCTAAGAAGTCGCGAGAAGATTAAAAACCGGTCTTGTCTCTCTCGGCCGTACTCGGTTGCAAGAGTGTTAACGAGTCTTTACAGATTTCGTTGCAACATACATTCCGATATTATTTACTATATTACAGTGTTTTGTAAGAAGTTTACCATTTCATTATAGCAGACTCTTCAATAGCAGCATTATTTCGGACCTTGTGCGGCCCTGGTTCGGTGGTGGCGCCATCCATTTTGCCAACTGCTGCCATCGCACCTGGCACCTTGCGGACCTCATATGTCCCAAAGTATGCACTGATGACAATCGTCGGTACAGCTTAATTAAAAATCACCACCTTTTAAAGTTCATGAGTTTCAATAAACCAGCTCTTTTCTAGTATCTTATCACATTTTATCAGTATAACTGGTTAGAGCAAACTGCCGTTGTAATCCACCTCAAAGTAGGCAGTAAGAGTATCTGCATTCTGCATACCCCTATTACAACAGACCAAAATCTTCGTCACTATCGAGATCTCTTATAATGAGCCTAGTGACAATATTGTAGTGAGAGGATAGTTTTGTCGCATCGATGACAACAAGAACAGTTTAACGAAAGCTTTGAGCAGGAAGCAGAGCTTCTGGATGCCATGGCAACAATATTTTAGTTTTTTTTTTTTCCCACAGTTGCATGGCCGGCAGAGCTCGTGGCATGAGCATTTGGCAGCTGGAAAAGCTCTCTTCCACCGTGGCAGGCGACGGTTGTGATGAGCCAAATCAGTTAATTTATTGAATAAGAATGCAATTCCACGTTAATAACTGGCCTTTACCTGCCAGGCCAGTGGAGGGTCCCTGCCGCTCCCCAGAGATGGGCTGGGGATTAACATACACCAGTTTGAAGGTTGCATGGCGTACAACCAAACTTTAGGTTACATGGTGTCTGCTCCACAATAGACCTTCCTCAGATCAGAAACACTGTTCTTTTACGTGCACCAAACAAACAGTGTGGGTCTATGAGACAAGACATTATTGCACCCTTGCAATGCCCTCCTGGCCTATCACCAATCTCTTCCATCTAGCCAAAAAAGAAAAAAAGAAAAAAAAAAGAGACGAGACAGAACAAATTATAACGAAGATGATCCCTCATCTTCGTTATAATTTGTTCTGTCTCGTCTCTTTTTTTTTTTTTTTTCTTTTTTCTTTTTTGGCTAGAACTGCAAATTCCTTCGTTAAATCGAAAATGGAATTTTTCTGGAACTAAAGAGATACTTCAACGAAATTTGAAATATATCCGTAGTGTTCAAAAATTGGTTCAATATGATCCACAATATCCGTAAATGACCATCGCACGTTTGTATTTTGAGCCTGGTGGCTGTATTTTTCGTTATAAACGGCCCACTCTGGCAAGCGCTCGGAGAAGGCCCAGCTTAGAGCGCGTGACATTCGACGCAATCGTGACGTAGGTCGTCTCGGGACGAGCAAAGCTACGGCGAGGCTGACGTCGAGAGGATGGCCTAGTCGTTCCAGCCACCGAAGCGGCTGCTTTTGTACGAATTTTGAGTGACGGGTTAATCTTTTATAATCTTGTGGGGGGACAATAGCTACTTATGAAACACACAAAAAGGGTTCTCGGGAAGACGGGAGTTCCTCCTGCCCCTTTTCTCTTGTCGTGGCCGGAGGCGAGACAACCTCCGTCACTAGCTGTCAAGGCTCCTAGACGGGCATTACAAACGAGGCGTTAGCGACATCCACCAAATGCTCTTTGCTAATCGTTTAATTCATTTTAAAATTCCTTTTAGTGACTTTTTTAACAAGATATTGGTGTGTTCAATGTGATACTGCTCCTTTGAACACATATAGACCATAGAATAAGTGCCGAAAGTTTGTTGTAGTATCCCTTTAAATTTGATAAACCAAATTCTAATATAACACCATACGGAGTGCTAGTGTGATACCACATTCCCGAAGTGCTCACACGCCAAGAGTGGGATTTACAAACACACGAGTTTAGTCCATGAAGACGACCTGTACCACTAGTGCGTGAAGGAAACCTTGAATCTCTTGAAGGAACTATTTAGTTTTCTTTTTCCTGACACCACAATCTGTGACCGCTGTCCACCCGTATCGGTCAACTGCGAGAGCCAGTAGGCTCTCGCACTGAAGTCCACATAGCCCACTAGAGACGGAAAAAGAGCGGCCTTTCTGATCCAAGCATGAGTGATTTCCGGGTTTTCTTTGAGAGCGAACACTTTTCAGGGGTGAAGCTCCTTAAGGTCTTGCCTTGTCCGTCCGGCGTCCATGCTCACATCAATCTTGCCGGTGCTGGTGCTGGTGCTTGTGAGCTCACGTGCTCGTGTAAGGCAAAAAAAAAAAAAAAAAATAATAATAATAAAGAAAAAAAAACAACATGTCTGCACAGTTGACAGGATTCGGACCTGTGCGGGGAGACCCCAATGGATTTCTAGTCCATCGCCTTAACCACTCGGCCACGACTGCGGGATGAGTAGGGGGCTCTGAGATATGGTAGTAACTCAAGAGCTGGGGATGTCATGGATGAAACGTTGCATGTAGCCGCTCAACGTCTATACAGGAGAGGGCGCTGCGGTCAAATGCGTATATAATCGCGTTAAACTTTGCATGCTTGGCTCAACGTTTATAGACGAGGGGGCGCTGCGGTCAAATGCTCAAATGCGTATATGACCACGTTCCATACCACACATTCTCTTTCTGACATGGATAAAAACGAACGAAAGGCTCGGCATGCTGCCGCTCAGCGTCTACGCAGAGAAGCACCACCAGAGCTTCGCCCCAATCAACATCATTCACCACGTGGAGATGCGGTCAATTTTTTTCTTCGGGGCTTTGTTTCACGGCGACGCAGAAGTCGGTGATAGGAGAAAAGCACAATGTCGTCGTCTCTTTCCCAAACCCAGCAACCAGTGTACACGATTCGTATTCCATCGTACGTTGGCTGTACATGCATGCCGAAAGATTTGAGACACTGGAGAGTCCGAGTAGAAAGCGCGCGCCGGATGTCGGCTCCATGATAAGTGCCGAGCGAGGCCCTTTTCCGGAGGCGACGGGAGCACGAATCGATTCGCCGTCTTGCGACGATAGACGCACTCATTCCAAAGCTCCTCGAGGTGTTGTCGCTCACCGTTTTGCACGGTGCGAAGGGTGAACTCGAAGCCCGCCTTGGTGGCCGTCACCCAGTGGTGCCCCGCCGCCACCTTGTGGGAGCCCACCCGGATGCTACGGCACCGGAAGCGCATGCTGTCCGGCAAGCCGCCTGGGGGCGGCCCCACGGGGGTGGCCCGGGCCCTGTTCGCCCCCCGGGGGGTGGAGGGCGCCACGCTTGTGCTGTCTGGGGAGGCCGCTGTGCTGCCCGCCGAGGAGAGTGGCGACGACGGTGGAGACGACTGCGACGTCAGCACCACCACCGTCGGCGTGACCGGATGGGGCGACTCCCGCTATGGGCGGAGGCGGGGCAAAATGTCAGCAGGCTTTCGTGGGTGCAAACGAAACGCTTGCCCCTCTTGGAATAAGTAGGGCATGCGCCGAGAAAGTGAGAGAGAGGAGAAGACCAAAGCGCGCGGAGACGTCTGAACGCTGAGCTTCAATTGGGAAGATTGGTGGGTAGACCTAAAGCTAGCTGTCTTTGTCTCCACTGCACTCGTGAAACATGTACGAATGCGAAAGCCAAGCGCCAAACACCTGCATTCTATGTTTTAAAGTGTTTGACAGCAGAGTGGTGACAAAGGCAGCTAGCTTTTAGTTCTAACCAGAGCTCTGTGTTCTGATGTCTCCACAAGCTCTTGTCTCCTCTCCCCCACTTTCTCGGCGCACTGTGTTTTGGGGAATCTACTTATAAATCCCCCCCCCCCACAAAAAAAAAAAAGAAAAAAAAAAAAAAGAAAAATTTGAAGAAAAGAAAAATTACAAACAACCACATAAAGTGTGCTGCGACTGCCCGAGCAGACTCTCGCTCTGGCCTGCTCAGTGGATCTCGGGAGCCGGTGCGACAACAATAAAAAGAAGAAGAGATGCCTTTCGCCTAAGCTCCGGGCCGGGCGTCTCAAATTCTTTTCCGGTAACTTCGAACACCGCCGACACTACAATTACACGTGCAACAATCCCACACAGACGCCGCACTGCTCGCCTCAAAACTAGCCAAAACAGAGAGGTCCAACCATGCCTGAACACGCCGAACCAACGTGCGACACACGAACAAAGGCTTTGGGCTTTGAATTGGTTTCGGATCCGTGGCCACCGGATAGACAGATAGTAAAAACCACGACGTGGCCGTGGACGGTACCTATCGCCCTCTTGTGGCGGTGCAAGATACCACAAGCAACAACTTTTTTTATATAATTTTTTTTTCGTAAAAATTTGAAGTAAGATTTGTAAAATCGTAAAACTAGTCCCAATTCATACATTTTACGAAAAATTCGGAAGAGTTGGCAGGTATGCAACGGTATCATTTTCCGTGACACAGGAGTCCGTCGAAATTCCCGTGTTTATCGCATTGTGAAATGCGAATTTGCGGTGTCCGCGATATGGAGCATCACTTCTTACGTCACGTGATTTGCAGCAAGTGCCCAAGTGTTTATCATTAATTTTTGATAAAGTTTTGCTGTGGCATTCCCAAAGAGAGCCCGCCCCATGTTTTTCACCATTTATTTCTTCATTTCGGGTGGGCGTTCTTTCGGAACTTTACGGTGCTATTGTCTTGCTCCTGGCAACAAATGTTCCGTTCGTCACCCGACATGTAACTGTCTACCCCAACCTTATATATATGATCCATGCGTGATGAAATATAAAACAGATGATTCAGCAGTCGATCGGGAAGTAATGGATTAGTATGGCACACCTTATAAAAGAGACAGAAGCGAGCTATTTTTTGGCATAAAGCAAGGTTAGGAAATGAAAGGGTCGGTTTCATGGAGATTATGACGGCACACGTCGGAGCCAGGTTTAACGTCGAGAAATTAAGCTAACACAATAATCGAGGTTCATGCTAAACGACTTTCAGAAGTCTTCGACACGATTCTTGTTTCGAGCTTCCGGTGGTACCTACACGATTATTGAAAAGCACCAACATTGCAGCAAAGAATTGCATTCAGAACTTTCAAAGAAAAGCGTGCAGCAATGTAATGTTTCTTCCCAGCTTGCTACCCAGATCTTTGCACATTTTCCTCCGACTCTCAAACATTTTGCCAACATTTCCAGGAAGGCTATCTTTTCCTACGATTTGAGGCTTCTTTTCCAAAAAGACACGCGAGGGTATTCGTGGATTCAGCTGGTGGCGGGTGGATGTCCTTCGTTGCCTCACTCACCAGTGGGCAGTGCACATCCTTGTAGAGGACGACGCTGTTTTCCCGGGTGGCAGTAGTGGTGGTCACATGGTGGTTCGTGATCACCCTGGGCACCTCCTCCTGGCACTCCACGTCCATCTCCTCGTCCGACGAGATGGTCAGGCACTCTGCACAATCACACGCCATCACTTGGCCATTGAGCGTCGACTTATCGTCGACACGCAGCTTACAGTGGGGCCCCTCCATGCTTTGTTAACGGTAAAGTTACTTCCACTCTGAAGGACGCCAATGCAAAGCGAATAAAAATGCGGGTCCCGGCTGCTTCTGGTATTTTAGGGCATTTTAAGAGGGGCAAAAAATATACTTGCAATTCAACCTGTCTCAGTCAAAAGACGGCAGTAATGTGCATCGAGCAAATAAATCACAATCCACTTTCGGACAGTGAAATCGTGAAAGTGGTTAGGCCTAATTTTACACACTCCAGGTAAATGCAGCGGGGTGCACCCTCTGCTGTAGGCTGAGTGTGTCTGGTAGCCTCTCCGTGAACGAAACTTGATCCGTGCGAGCAGGCTTCGGGGGTCCGCGGTTAGACTTTGTACGGTTCTTTTACACGTAGTCGTGGATTATACCTGAGCGTGCCCGCCGGATACTAGCAATATATATTGTCTTACAAGTTCTTGTCTCGTGAACGAAACTTGATCCATGCGAGCAGGCTTCGGCGGCGGTGGAGGGGTTGGATTTCGTAAGAGTTCTTATACGCATAGTCGCAGATTATACCCGAGAGTGCCCAATACTAGCAATATCTATCACCTAACTAAGAATGGTGGTGTTGCTTTGCGTGCTGAGGCACCCCAACGGCACCCTGAAAGCACCCTAAAAAGTTTGCAATTTATAAAGCATGGTTATTGTGGCGCACCCCCGACCAGCCGTGGGTGCGCCTCCGTCACTGGAGACAAGGCACAGTACCTTGCCGTGTCATATTGGCACCTAATATAACATTTGCATGAAGAGTGTAAATGCAAAAATTTTACCCCGTGTAATGAATGACACCCCCCCAAATATGTGTCAATTTTTCGGGAAAAAAAGTGTGTACATTTTGCGAGTAAATACAGTAATGTCGGCTGCCGGTGCTTACCAGGCTCCCTGCGTCCCCTGCGCCCCACGGCGCGTCCCAGCTTGGCAGGCGTGTGGCCCGCTGTCGACAGCAGCTGCCGCGCAGTGCTGGCAAACGTCGGCATTGCCTTGAGAGGGCTGCGGCCGTTGGTGGCCGGCACCGCCCGGGCTACCACCAGGGCAGAGCCTGGCACCTGCCCGGCCCCATCCACCGAGGCGGCCGCGAGCAGGCTGGACTTCTTGACCACCGTCACCGCGCCCGTCGCCTCCACGGCGGACAGAGACACCGTCGTGGTGACCTGTGTGGTGGTGCCCGTCCGGCTGCCGTAGAATGTGCCCTTAGCCAGCTTGGCCTTGCAAGGCGCGTGGTTGGGGGCTGTTGTGGGCAGGCGCCGCTTGCAGTCTTGCGGTACCCTGGACCTGGGGGTTGAAAGTCCGATTCGGTGGTTTTACCGACACTACCTACAATGATAGAACAACACTGTCGCATACCTGCCAACCTGTGGACTTTCAAATTCGTAAAACTCCCGCGGCCGCGGGAAAGAAAGGGGGGGGGGGGAATAGTAAGAGGCAGGCACTTATCCCTGCTGTTAACGCGAAGTGATGTACAGCTTAATGTCAGCCTTGCCACCGTGAGAAACGCTTACATCACACGCGCAAGTGCGACAGAATCCAAACTTCTCTCCTTTCTTGGAAGCGTGTAGCATTCCAGGAACATCTGAAAGTACCTCTTTTGAGGTCTGGAGTTTGCCATCGCGCCGCGAAGCCGCTGCGACTAGGGAAATGCTACGAGTATATGTGCAACAAACAAAGACACTGCTCTGCTTGCCACGAAATTGGCCAAAACAGCGAGGCCCAACACGCGAAACCAACGCGCGCCGCCGAACACATGAACAAAGGCTTTGGGCTTTGGATCGGTTTTGGATCCATGGCCACCGGATAGACTAATAGTAAAAATAAGGTAAAAACCACGACGCTGCCATGGACGGTACCTATCGCCCTCTTGTGGTGGTGCAAAAAATTGCCAGCAGCAATTTTACAAAAGAAAAAAAAAAGAAAGAAAGAAAAAGAAATTACAAAGAAAAATTATACATTTTTTCTTGCAAAATTTGAAGCAAGATTCGTAAAATTGTCAAATTAGTCCCAATTCCTACATTTTACGAAAAATTTGGAAGAGTTGACAGGTATGCTGTCTTCACGGTCGGATAGCGCCAACTCGGCAATCGGATCTGAGCCCGATGCAGAGCGTCCCTCGATGCGCTGATTGGAAACAAGGCTCATGTCCAACTTGTGCCTTCGCACAATCTCGCTGCGATCCCGTCACAAGTGCACGGGCTTTGAGTGTTCTAGGTGGTGTTGGTTTTGCGTGCCAAACCAGCAAGGGCATCTGGCATGCCCCAGTGGAGGACCAAGGATTAATTTCGACCAGCTGTGGTTCTTTTGGTATGCAAGTGAGATCCCTGCTACACGGAGCCTTGAGGTGGGAAGGAGTTGGGGTTTCGAGATTAACTTTACAGTTTGAGATGTTGCAAGGATTTTAGAAATTTCACAGATTTGAATCTGACTGGTTCCAAGTAATTGACTTGTGTAGGGGAGGAGGAGGGGTGGGGGTGGGAGGCGGAGCTTTTTAAAACATGATCAGACACAAAGGCAACAAGAGATGCTTTTTGTTCGAGGGCGACATATACCGTAAAACTTTCGTGAGCACCTAATCATTTTCGCAAAAGGTAAAAACAGAAAGGCAGAGCAGCTAATTAACCTGGTTGATTATACCAGTTGGCTACTCCGTGCTTGCGGAGGAGGGGGAAGGTGACGAGAAAAGTTTTTAAAGACGAGGCCAAGCAGAAAATAGAGGTGTAAAAAATTGTAGAGCCCTTCCACTTGGCATGAAGATGGAGGACCAACGAAGCCGTTATCTATCCGACGTTTAGGACAATGCCTAGAGGACGACGTCATGAACAACCTCAAGGACGACTTCCAGGACGACCTGGAAGACGATGCCTAGAAGACGACATCTAGGATGACCTCAAGGACGACCTCAAGGACGCCGATTAAAGGACGACCTCAAAGATGACTTTCAGGAAGACGCTAGGACGACCTCTCAGACGACGTCTAGGACGATCTCGAGGACGCCGCCTAGAGGATGACCTCAAGGACGACTTTAGGGTGAAATCGAGGACGATGCCTAGAGATGATAACAAGGGATCAGGACCTTACTATCTAATAATGTCAAGGAAGGCTGACTCACGCTGGTTGCCCCCTTTTTATTTTTATTTATTCATACTTGCCACAACCAATGGGGAGTTTAGGAGTTTCCTGTCAACATCTGCAGACACATTTTTTCTCAGATCCCAGCCAACTAAATGCAATCGCAGCACTTGTGTGGCGTTCTTCCATCACAAACGTGTGTCACGGAAGCTGACTAGGAGCAAACCATGTAACGCAGTTTCTGTTAAAAAAAAAAAAAAAAGAAGAACATTAATGATGTTTTTTTTTGTGAAAAAACTAAAATTCTAAAATATCTTTCAGCCTTTCCACTCTGGTGAAAAAGGAAGACCAGCGGAGCTGTACTATGGTGGGACAACCTCAAGGACGACTTCTTGGATGACTTCAAGGACGCCTAGAGGACAACATCTAGGACCTCAAGGACGACGCCTAGGACGACTTCTAGGACGACCTCAAGGACAACATCTCGGACGACCTCAAAAACGACTTCTAGGACTACCTCGAGGACGATGTCTAGGACGACCTCAAGGATGACTTCTAGGAAGATTTCGAAGACAACCACTTAGATGACCTCAAGGACATCTAGGACGACCTCGAGGAGGACTTCTAGGACGACCCCGAGGACGACTTCTAGGACGACGCCTAGAGAAATTCAGCCTTTCCACACAAAAACTTAAACATATAAAAAAGCGAGGACGAGGACAGGAACAGGACATCTTTCTTCTTCCACTCTGATGAAAACCAGAGCGGAAAGGCTGGAAAGGTTGCCGCGATCTATGAGCGATGGCAACAACCAGACAACGGAAAAGCCGGTAGTCTGGTTGCCGCCGTCACTCATCTGTCCAGTGTTTTGTGTCGAGATTTATTTGTCCACGTACACGAAACTGGGGAAACTAGCCCTTAACAGCTCCGCTGTAAATTAATGTTTCCAACTCCTTAGCCTCCCGTGCTAATTCTTCTGTGAAGCACAACACAACATGCAGTCAGCGAAATTTAAACCCAACATCGTTCCAAGGCTCCTTTAGTTAGTCAGAATTAAGGATGTTGCGAAACTGCCGTTGTTCGAGTTCAAGCAGGTTCGACTTTTCAAACGTTTGTTGCGAAGTCAGACAAATGTTATACGATTGTTCGCATGCGCGGGAATTAAGAACGAGCCGAACCACCTGGCGAAGGGGGTGCAATGTTTGTTGGGTATATTGTTTAATTGTTTTACATTAATGAGCCAACTAAAATGTACACATTTCTTTTACATTGCATAAGCACTGGCATTTATTTCATTAAATATAAAAAAGCTTTAGAAACTATTTGTTCCTTAAAATTATAAATTTTCGCGTAGCAGCCAGGCAACACCGTAAGTCGATCTTCATTAAATTTTGCTAAAGGCTAGATAGTCTGCAGCTCAAGTTCGACGGAAGTTCTCGACATCCCTAGTTAGAAGTGGCATTTGGCTCCACAGGAACTTCAATCGAGGCGTCGTTAGGAAAGCCCCTTGAAAGTGCCACCCACGACCTTAATGAGAAAAAAAGAGTGCAAGGTCTGCTCACATGTGGTGGATCTTGATGTTGGCATCGAGGACCTTGCTGCAGAAGTCGCACGTACGCGGGTTGTGGCTGACCTGGCCGCAGTGGGAGCACACCACGTACAAATTGTCATCGCCACTCTGCAGGGGGCCCTGGAACGACAGATGCACGCCCCGTTTCATTCATTTACGCCCTCCATAAAATACGAGAAGAAAACAGCATTGGGCAAAGGAGCACTCGACACTACAGCCCAACAATGCGAACCAAGGCATCAAAACGACTGCCTTCTCAAACCGGGTTCCTAGGAAGCCCGAGGTTAACCAGAGTACCCATATGGGTACCCCAAGCTCCCAAATTCCCTCGGCCGTCCCTGCACCCCACTAAAGTAAATTTTAGCAGACCGGAGCCCCCCATTGATGCAAAACTATAAGCCAAATATGTATCCGCAGTATTGTTTACAAGGTGTCTGTAGGCTTCTGTGCTGTCTCATGGATTGGTGTCAAGACCGAGATGGGTTTCTCGGCCGCCATTAGAGAGAAGTTTTCCAAGATAAAAAAAGTTAGAGAACTCTCGGCCTATGCAATCTCGAGCGACAGCCGAGGGACGTCTATTCCTTCTCACCGTTCTCCGAATAAAACAATCGAGAAGCTGACGGAATCTGTTAACCGCAGTATGCACGCTAGGGAAGGAAAGGGTAATGTTTTTGACTTCCGTCATGTGCCGGCAAATGAAGCGACCAAATCGAGCCAACCCTCTGTAGCCGAGCACAAACCAGGCTCCTGCTATGCACACTTTGCTAACTCCAACGAAGCAGCAAGATCGTAGCTTTCTATACTTTGCTTCACTTCTCGGGGGGAATTGAACCTTTTGATCTTGAGGAACGCTTACCGCCCTAATCGATAGCCGGGCAGCCCCTCTGGATGTCGGCATCGATGCAATTAGCAACGCCGAGGCCTCCAGAGTTCGTAAACTATGACCAGGTTGTCTAGCAAATTATTATTTTGAAATTCCCCAACTTTTTCAGGCTTTCCCTGACAATTTCAGGTGAAATTCCCTAACCACTGTAGAGGCGGTTAAGTATGTAAGACCATCACAAAACAAGGCCTTGAGCATTGAGCACTGTGAGGATCATTTTGCACGGGCTTAATTCAACCTATATGTTCCGAAATATTAGGGTTCGTCCAGTCCGGATTAAACTGGTGCTTTCTTGCCGCCGACATCGTCAGTGGAGAGGCCACTTCCGGAAACACGACGCTCAACCACATACATCAATAAGCGAATAGCAGCATGGCCGCCAGATGCACACTTCTGGATAATTTCGGCTTAAGGCTTGGATTAGATAAGGGTCTGCGGCTTTTCTATTTGTTACTAAATCTAGTAGCACTAACTCAATACAGCCTAGTGTAGCGCACTCAATCCAATCAAAGGCTTGGACTGGATTTCTCGGCTGTTCCTTTTGCATTAGGTAGCACACTCTACATCGAAGGAGCAGAGCTTGCGCTCCGCTCTAAGCAGAATTCATTGCCAATTTTTCTGCACTCAAGTCCTCAAGTCTTTGCTCAGGGCACTCGCTGGCGTTTCCGGCTAATTTTCCCTGACTGGGCTCGCTTTTTGACAATAATTCCGAGTTTTTCCGGTCATTAAAATTTCCCTGACAATTCCCGGCTTTCCCGGTCGCTAAACACCCTGATGACATACCTACTGGGGAGTATTTGGCAGATAGCTATGCATCAAAGGATGGCTTGCATCCTCTAAAATAATGCATAAATTCTAAGGACGCTTTATTTAAGGGCAGAAATGGCCGAGGAACTTTGGGAGCGAGGGCACATCCTGGGTGGCAACACTGCCCCAATGTCCTCTCCACACTACGACGTTACCAATAGGGTGAGAGCGGCAGGGGGAAACTTAAAGGGGCTGTGCAAAAATTTTAACGCTGCAAGAATTTGCAATCTTCTACTTTTAACATTGTTTATCTTGTGCCAAAGGGCAGACAAAAATCTCCTTTCATCGAAATGTTGCGATTCCACCGCGTAATCGCGAGGCAAAAGTAAGAATATTTCCTGGCCTGCAGCCGCGAGCGGCGGCCATGAGAACCATGTGGCATGACGTCAAAGGGGGACTTGTAAAAAGATAGCAAGTTGTGCAAATACCTGCTCGATAAAAGGTAATTTTTCTATAAATCTTGTCGTTCCAACGTAAATTTAAATGTGTCAAAAACCTGTTATCATCGACAATACTTTTATTATACAGAGTTTCAGTGGCGCCATCTATCCGAGGTCAAAAAAAACCGTCAGCTCAATTATCTGCTACCACGAAGCCAAAGGAGGACGGGGGCAGAGCTGGACCCGGACGAGCCTGTTGGCACTTTCCTCCTTTCGCCATGTTGATCGCGCTGCGCAACAAGCACGTAGTCACGAGCGGGTGAGTTCTCGCTGCTCACTGATGGCTTTAAAGAGAGCGCTTCACCGGATCCCCGCGCATCCCCCATTGACAACACAGCACACATGACTCGGAAGGTGGTGAAAGAGTTTAGAGGCGCCAAAAACCTCAATCTTCGTCCATTTTTAAAATAAAAACTAGGACATGCAGATCGCTCGAAGAAAAGGTGACTTACCGTTTGGTTTGCGCTGGCAGTCAGCTTGCCCGGGCTGCAGGGATTGGCGTCGTGGATCCCCGGCCTACAATGTATGCACAGGTGTGTCCGACCCCAAAAAGCAAATTCGAGGGTTCTACGTGCCAAATCGACGAAGGGTGTTTCGCACGCCCCGGCGGAGGATTTAGGATTTGTTTTAACCACTCGACATTCTCCGGATTAAGCCTTTGTCCGAGTCCAGAACCTCGGCCAGAACTCGAACCCGCCACTCAGTGGACGGTAAGTCGACGCTTAACCTTGGAGTCACCGAGGCGAACTACGTGTCTGATCCCCCACCCTCGTACGGGAAACGCCCCGTGGCAACATTACTGTTATTTTAATTAATTTATTTATTTTTAGATACTGCAGCCCCATCGGGGCTATTGCAGGAGTGGGGGGAAAAATCACAAAACATTGTACAATAAAATCAACCACTGTCAATCACACACAAAAACTCGTCTGGAGGCAATTAACAAATGTTACCAGGTAGCAAATTCCAATGTTCAATTGATCTAGGAAATAAAAACTGTATTTGAACATGTTCGTATGTACATAAAACGGTGCAATGTTTAGGTAATAATGGACTTTAGGATCTCAGTGTGACGTTTATTGGAAAGAGGACTTAAGCTTAGAGCAGAAAGTTTAGAGGATGAGGAAAAATCTCCGTCGTAGAGGCTGAAAATAAAATGTACTGCTTTCTTTTGGATTGATTTGATTTTGTGAATATTAAGATTGTTTCCAGGGATTTCAAATGATTGAACCATACTTGAGGTTAGGGCGTATTATTATTATTAAACTTTGCTGTAACCACGTCGAAACCCGTGTTCAAGATCACATAAAATGTTAGTTTCAAGGAACACCATGATGTGTTTGTAGATTATATGTTATAATAACTTGCATAAATGAGATGTTAAAGAAATTGGCCTGTAATCAGTTAATGAATGTTTGTTGCCGGATTTATACAATGGAAGGACTTTAGCAAGTTTCCCAAACCAGGGAACTGTTGCGGTTGACAGCGATTTCTGAAAAATAATAGCGAAGTACCCACTAGTCCAAAGAGAATACCGAACAAGAAATTAATCATAAATGTTGTCAAGGCCAGGGCTTCTTTTAGTATCTAAATTCAACACCATGTTTAGCACGCCCTCATCACACACAGTTACATCACCAATCGTACAATGTGAATCATTTTTGAAGAGAGGAATTTCGGAATTGTCCATTGTAAACACCGATTGGAAAGACGGTGAGAGTGCAGGCGAGCTCGTGGTAGCTAATCATGTCGTATTACACCTGAGACTGCGGTGGAAGAAATCGGAAGAACTTTCAGTAGAAGGAACAGACACAGAGAACGGAAAATCTTTTCTTTCTGTTTTTGTTTGCGCCGGACATCCCATGACGCATCGCGCTCTCCGCTCGCTTCTCTTCGAGCGCTTGCTCGAGTGCACCGTTTGGAACGAAAAATATGGCCAATCGTTCAAAATACAAACGTGCGATTATGATTTACGGTTAATATCCGTCATGCTTGACTCATTTCCGAACGAAATTTGAATATTTCAATTTATGTTTCCCTACCCCTTTAAAGGGGTCATGAAACGCTTTCCCAACTTTTTCCTGTTTAGCTTTCCTCCTCAACTCATAAATCGCACATTCCACGAAACAGTTCAAGAAGACAAAAAAAAGGGAGGCCCCTCTTGCTCTGAATGTAGTTTGTGTGCCCGGACAGAGCCATTCTCCCCCTAGAAGATTAGCCCGTCGCTCAAAATTCAGACAAAAGTTGCTTTCCCCAACCCGTTTACCCCGAAGCTGACAGTGCTGTGGATCCCAAGTGCTCGTTGGGCCAGCCACCCTTGCCACGTGATCATGCTCCTTCGCGCATATCCACGCGCAGAGAATGAGTTCAGGTGATGAAAGGGAGGCGGCTGATTGGTCCGGCAAGCGCATAGCTTCCACCACAAAGTCAGCTTAGGGGTGAAGGGGCTAAGTGAGGTCCGGTTTCGTGTGACGTGTGTTTGGACCCGATGACGTGCTTTTGGGATCGCGGATGTATCACAGTGAAAAGGCAGGGAGCTTACGAAGGGGAGTAGGTACGAAATAGTCCACTGTGTTTTCAAATTTTCGCATTGAAAGTCAGGCTTTTGACTTTCTACCTCTTTTATTTTGGCCCACTGAACGATGTGCTATTAGTAAAATCCCAATCTAAAATGATTTATCCCAACCCAAAATTCGTTTCATGGGTCCTTTAATCACAGAAAGATAGGCCACTCCAAGTTATTTTACTGTTAGAATCAATGATGACCTCGTTGTAAATGCGAGCTAGTTAGCTATGGTGGGATATAAGCGAACATTGCTGATTGGGAAGTAGAGTCATCTTTGCTTCATCGTTCTTTGCCACAATAACAAGTTTGACAGGAAAACAATCTAAAAATAGCGTTTTTATTCACCTTTTCTTGATTCACATTGAAAGGTAGCCCACTTCTTTTTTTCACTAGGTCTGCTCTCAATTTTAGGTGGGCCATCTAACGCGATATTACGGTATACACGGTGTTACTCGAAGCAATGGACAAATCGCACCTCTACAAGGTATGCATCACACGGAAAACAAAAAAAAAAGCTGATCTCCTATTAGTTTCCTGGGAAAATAGATTAATGGTAAGCAATTGCAGCCTATAGTAACTTTAGTACCTCTGACAGACACAGACTCGCACACAGAGAGATAGAGGGGGGGAGAGGTGCTTGAAAGTGTAGGTCACCTGACAAGGCTGTGGCTCAGGTCGGTGGCAGGCTGCCTGGGAGCGCAGCCAGTGTCCATGGCAGGCAGGTCTCTGCCGGGAAGACGCCCACCATGGGAGGGGCCCTAGCGACGCCCGCCCCTCCTAGAGGCACAGCAGAAGGCACAACTTGTCAGCACTTGTGGGTATTTTTTGGACAGCACCCCCACGCCCTGGGGGGATCGGTGGCCGAGTGGGCTGAAGCGCACACCCAGCTCGACGCGCGTGGAGCGAAAGCTCGCGCTGCAGAACCCAGGGATCCTGGGTTCGAGCCCCACCCCTGCCCGTTTCGATCTGGATGAGCATCGTACCGGCGTGCGGTCGTGTATCACTACTGCGTGGTGCACGTTAAAGACCCCAGGCTAGCGGTTGTACTGCACTGGCTAAATTGCTCATCTACAGTGTAAACCAGTGTCGCCCCTACTGGCAGACCAACCTTACGCTGTATAAATCACTAAACGTCCAATTTGACTTTGACCCCCACGCCCTTCCCTCTCAACACCCCTGATGCATTTCATTAGGCATGCCTTCTCCAACTGGGTTCCACAAAGTGCCCATGAGGGTTCAACTGCTTTTCCAGTTTAAACTCTATCTTGGCACACCTGACAAATAATGATGAGCCAAACATTCTTTACTAGTATGTGCACTATTCTTCACAAGGTCTGCTGGCTTCTGCTCCGCTTTATAATATTAATGGCGAGATTACAAGTCAGAGAGATGTTCCTTAAGATAGACAAGTTTGAGAATTAAAAGAATTCGGAAGAATTTAATTTTTATGCGAGAGCGTTAAGGAGCTCGTGTAGCAGACAAGCCAGCGTCCGCAGGACGAGAAAATCCTGATTGGTCGATAGGGTCATGACGTCACAGCCACATGACCTCACGCAGGAATTTCAAACAACCCACAACACTCGCATGAAACGTGATGTCACACGTAGAATGAAAGTAATTAAAACATGACCTGTAATGCGAATTAAAGGTTGCTGCATGTCTCAAGTGATTTCACTTAATAAAGTAATTAATTTGCATTAAAAAAATTCAAGGATTTTAGGCATGATTTAAACTCACGACCCTTTGGTTGCGAGTCAGACACGCTACTGATTAGGCCATGCAGACACGCTTGCACGGCATTAAGCATCCTCCCGTAATTCTTATTCCATTTCTAGATTTCTTAAAAGTTTCTTTGTTTTCTTTAAGGACATTACATAAGGACTTGGCAAAAGTAGCAGTGCCACATGATAACCAACAACAAAAGCACAAAAAACAAGAGTGAGGCACTAAAGTGTGATGTAAAAGGAAAACAAAACATCAATCAGAAAACTATAAGACATGTTAAAAAAAAAATGACAATGAGAGAACAAGAAATAAAATGACCACTTGTATATCTAACACCAGAAAGGACACAAACATAAATTATAATGCAAATAAATGCAAAGGTGCAAGCGAGCTGGACAAGAATGACAAAAATAATCCCTGGAGAAGGGGAACAAGAGGGACAAAGGACAAACACAAATCTCCAAACACAGCTAGGTGACTGGTGCGCGGCCGAAAAAATCCGCCTGGTCCGGGAATCGAACCCGGGACCTCTCCATTACAGGAGGAGCGCTCTACTGACGTCTAACCCCTGGTTAGCTCAGTTGGTAGAGCACTCCACCTGTAATGGAGAGGTCCCGGGTTCGATTCCCGGACCAGGCGGATTTTTTCAGCCGCCCACCAGTCACCTAGCTGTGTTTGGAGATTTGCGTTTGTCCTTTGTCCCTCTTGTTCCCCTTCTCAAGGGATTATTTTCGTCACAAATATAAAACCTGATAGCCCCTCAAAAAAAAAAATAGAATAATTGGATTTCTCAAAGCCTGGGGGTCAGTAATTGACACGAGTGTGTTGGGAAGATTGTTCTCGTCCACAATAGTGAGTGACAAAAATGAGTTATCAAAAGTGTTAGCGGAACCAGATATGCACTGATGGTGACAAGAGCTATTAACGCCACAAGACAATCATGCAGGAAGATGCAAAAGTAATCTCCACTTTAAGAACAAAAATACAAGAAGCAAAAAAACAAACAAATGTCTCGCTCCAAGTAAAGAATTTCCTGAAGAACCACTCAAACTTTTGCAGCCTTGTCACAATAAAAGGACATGTTCACTACAAAAAGTGAAAGTGTTTTCAGTCTTTTCAAAACACTAGCTTGAAGCACAGGGGAAGTAAAATGTTGCCTATAAAGTTTCCTGATCTTGCTACTGCCGAAAGACACATCATCAGGCAAACTAACTGGTACACGGACATCTGTGTAACATATTTGTTTTGACACTCCCAATGCTATACTTTGCCTCACTTTAACATGGACTAACCGTAAAGGCTGCGAGCGAGAGCTCCTTGTGCTTGACCGCGCCTCGGCTGCATGAGCGCTTGCATAGTCGGAGCACCTGTCGAAGCTACCCATTCACACTCATAGCCACTGCAGTTAGTCCGTAATAAGGGGAGAAAAAGTATATAAGCCTTTTCCGGCAATAAGATATTTGGATGAGACTGAGCAAAACATTATTAGGAAGTCTTAGGATAGCGCACGCAAAAACTTTATGCATGCAAAGAATACCATCGTCGCCACTGCGAACGTGCCGAGCGCTAACCACAATTTGGGGGCGTCCTTTTTCAAAAATTGCGCGCATATGCAAAAAGTGTGCGTGCCTCCAAGGAGGATTTGCGATATGCCAAGACATGCACAGAAAAGACCGGCTGCGAGGACTGCACCTGCGACCGCCTGTTGCAAGTGCGACGTCGGAGGCATCCTTGTGACTGCGATTACACATTGAACTGTTGCACTCCTATGGGAGGTGCATGTCACAAATAGTTTGGAAGACACAGCCAGGTGGGCAATGATCGCTGTCAACTTCGGACGTGCGAACGCTTCTCGGCGAAGGACGGTATACGAGAAATCTGTTGCCGAGGCGATCCGAGCAGACATGACCGACAGGACTGCTTGCATCACATTCTCATACTTAAACAAATCTAATATGTTACTCTGGGCCAAAAACTTGTTTTATTACTTTTTTTTTCTCAAGTTACCGCATTTTGCTGTGTGAAATAAAAATTGTTACTCTATCTCGGTGGCATTGGAAGAACGAAATGCTTGGGTCATGCGTTGCGGCAGAGAAACACAATTCTAAAACCCTCTAGCGTAAAGTGTGCTAAAATTCTGTACATTATTCTACAACTCCTTAATTCCCCCGCTATATAGGGCAAAATTTAATCTCAGTTCCATCGAATGACATTATATCATCAACCAATCGTCCACCTGCAGTCAAGATCATGAGCAGCAGAGGAAAATGCTATTTGATCCACGGGGGAAAAAGAAGTGAAGAAAGCTACTGTTATGATGACCCACACAATAGAAACGCACAAAAGGGGGTTTTGTCCCCCTTTTGTGGTTTTTTTTATCTCCCACAAGCTATAACCAGTAGCACTGGGCCCTTCTAGTCTGGAAGTGATGCAAATCCAGACCCTCCACTGGCAAGCCTGTATCATAGATCATTACAAGATTAGACCCCTCAAAAAAAGGATTGAATCAATTCCGATATCAGACGCCTCCGCAACTGCAGGCCAACAATGAGATAAGAGATACGAAGCGTCCGACCACCTCGCATCTCACTGCATCAGTCTTGAATGAGACGCTCGACCGACTCGACCGTAATAAAACAAATTGCCAAATTACCCGAAAGCACACTCTCCTACAACAGACAGGAACATAGGCAAACACGTTCCGACGACATCCTTTGCAAGAGTTGTGAAAGTGTTTCCTCCAAAGGCAGGAACCAAGACAAGCGCTGTGTCAGCTGAGCTGTACTTGGCTATGTACCGACACTAGCTTCAAGTAAGCTGGACTCGAAAAATCACTCCTCCACTATAAATAGGCCATTAGAAATGTTTAGCTTTAACCAGCCTTAATACATTAGGAAAGTTTATTCATTAAAAAAAAAAAAAGTGAGCTTTAAAAGTTAGTAATTTTATGCAACTGAGGCAGAAAGCAAAACCCTTGTGTCACTCTGTTGACGAAATGCTACCGAAAGCAGGCTACTGCAAATGATTTGTTTTGCTTTGATAAACAACTTGATGGGAAGGTCCTTCCCAATTTAAAATTTCCGGCACTGTGCGTGATCTGGGCATGCAATACTTTTAACGAGGTACCTCCTCAAGACTAAAGCGGTATAGTAGCGTGCAACATCGACTCTGCGAACCGCGAGAACAGGAGTCTGTACGAGAGTAAGGCAGGAAAGTATTCAGTAAAAAAGATTAACCAGCGAAAATGGACGCAACACCTCATATCGTTACTACAAGAAGGCAAGTATAGGCAAAAAAACATTAGATTGGATCGCAGATTTATTAAAGAACCCCTGAAAAAAAAAAAAAAAGTTTTTTTAACAGTCTGATTGGGACACGCAAATCAAAAAATTAATTTTACCAGGAAAAAAAAATCTTTTTAGAGCAAAATTGACGGCGCGAGACGCAATTTAGTTGGCTTCAAGTTGAGGTGAAAAGTGTGAATATCGCAGATGGTCATCCGGAATGACCCGTGTTGTCATGGATTTTGCGTGCAGAATTTCAAATAAATCTCTCGCCGTCAATATTGCGTTGAAAACTGTTTTTTCGCGTAAAATTAATTTTTTTGACACGCGTGTCCCAACCAGACTGTTTAAGGCGGTCCCACGGCGGCCATTTTGAACAAGCCACTAGTTCAACCGGTAGATGGCGGCACTCATCCGTGTGGCCAGAAAGCTGGCTCGTGGCCCAGTGATGTTCCTCCTCTGCTCTTTATTTCCTCCTTTATGCTGTTCGCCCGTGCATGTTCAGCGCTCAGCGCGTGTTCCCGCTGACACAAATGCCAGTAAACGTGCCAGTGGTGCCAGCAGTGCCCAGTTCGCACAGAAGAGGAGCCTAGCTAGCTCATCGACCCGATCGAGAGTGCCTAGCTGGGCAAAATTTGTTCTTTGACACTGGCTTTGTTCCGCGCTGCAGGGTTGGCAAAGAGATTTCGTTAGAGGCTCACAAGCCAGTAGCTATCGTTTTGACTACTCAAGAATTAAAAAAAATAGTCAATCAATCAGTGAAGAATT